ACGAAAATTACCAACAACAAAAACTCTTTTACATAATCAACATGTTGCATTATCAATTCCATATGATCAATTATCATCATTTTTACTTTCAGCTATGTATGAAAATTATCATATAACATGGTTTGATGTTGTTACTATTGATCGACAACATTATTTTACATTTATATGGAATGATAATCATTTATTTCAAAATCGCACAACAGTTATGTTTTATAATTTAAATCCAGCACAATTTCATGAATTTACATTAAAAATGAATCGTTATCAATTTGATTTAATACATTTTGATGTATATCGTCATTCAAATGAAAATATGCTTCGTTATATTTGTTTATATTTACGTCAAGATTTAACGAAATCATTTCATAAATTACGTACAGCTGTTATAGCAAATCGATGGTTAAAAGAAAATAATCTTAATGCTATTAATATACGTCCACATATATTATGTGGAAATTTATATTATTCGAATTTATTATCATCAAAAAGATCTAATTATAATAATAATTATTATCGTATAAATTTAACTGATATTGAATTACTTGAAGAACATACAAAAGCATTAACAGATAATTATAAATTAATTGATTTAAAAGTATATCATTTAAATAATGGTGATTATAGATTTATAGCTATGTGGACAAATGAACAAGAAGGTTCATCAACATTATATCTTGGTTTAACATATGATGAATTAGTTGAACGTCTAAATGAAAAACAATTACGTACAGCTATTATAACTAATTATGGTTTATTAGTTGATGGACAACAATGTTTTGCACTTGTTTGTAATCAATATGGTTCTGTTTGGTGAAATACTTTTATTTTATTTTTATAAACACATATGTTATACGAAGAAATTAAAATAATTTTTTTTCTATTTGTGTTTTCAAAGAAAAATTAAAGTTTTTAATATCCTCTAGGATGAATTGAAGGTAAAGAAGAGGATAGGTCTTCTACCCACCCCTCAATAAAAACAGCAGAGACTTCAGTCTTGAAATCTGCTGTTTTCCGCTTGATCTACCCTCAATAAAAACATTATTTTAATTCCTCCTAAGAGAATTTTAAACTATCATAGATTTGAATTTATTCTGTAACATATATACAAAAAATAAATAAATAAATAGACATTAGCGAAAATAATAATATAATTGTTGAAATATCAGATTGTTGTCTTTTTGATTTTAGATAACTATCAATGATCAATAATAAGTAAACCTTTTCTTTTAGCTTTAAATGTTTTGGAGAGGTCTTGTGATATGAATACAACAAATATATTTGTTTGATCATTGGCAATATTTTGTTCAAGAAGTAAATGATTTATATCGTATTGAGGAAATACATTTGTAGTATAGCAAAAAACAATGATAATCTATTTGAAAATATGACAATATTAGAATATTTAACTAAATAATTATCATCAAGTTTAACTAATTTAACATCATGTTGTAAAATTGTTTTAAAAAGAATTTTTGATTCAAAACGTATTTTAGTTCAATAAAAAAAGAATGAAAATGTAAATATAATATTAATGTTTAAATGTAGATTGGAACAGATTAAAAAACAAATAATTTTCCTTATTATGTGTAGCCTAATTGTTTCAAAAGTTAGTTCAAAAAAAAAATTAAATGTAAATATTTCTTAAGCTTTTTTGATTTATACACAATCCAAGTTCTTCAAAATTATATTCGACATACTGTCGATGAACTACTTGTGTCTATCGTGATTAGTATAAAGATGATTGTAACAATGATCAAATTTGAATTGTCTATGGTTGTGAAAGTAAAATTACAAGTTGAATTTAGAAAAATATAATTGTAGACACCTTGAAATATTATCTATCTACTAGACTACTAGTTTCTTCAACTCTCTGAATTAGATTGTTGATGGAGCGCACAACAACATGTTTCTGTCAAATTCGACTTTAAATTCTACTCAGGAATGCATTAACAACTCTAAATTGATTATTCATAAAGGTGTATTCTTGTGTTTATAAAACGAACAACTTATTTAAAATATGGTCAATAAAACTTTTAGACATTGATGAATGACTAAAAAAATCCATTATTACAATTATTTCAATTGTTTAAGACCTATCTGTATATAAATGACAACTTTCTAATACATATAACTGATGGTGTAGATTAAACGGGCCAATATCATTTTCTTTGGACACTCTCAAATACACTTCCAGGAAGTCATTCTATAGGATGGGCCAAAAGTTATCGATCATTCTTTAATTTCGAATAACTTTTGATAGGATCAAAGTAAAAAACTGCAGCTTTCACCATTCAAAAGAAGCTCTGTTACTACATAGTTTCATATACTATTCGACAGTGCTGCTTGTTGCTATGATAATCAGCCAGTGGTCTTCAGTAAAATACTGGTAGCTCTATGAAAATTGCATAGAAGTTCATTTCTATTGGGTACGTTAAAATTGTGTACCTATGAATCACGCTTGCCATTGTCGCTATTTAGTGTTGCATCCAAAACTCTCTATCGAAAGAAGATAATAGGTTTGGTTGTCGGCCTTAACGTAAATCGTGAGTACACGAATCGAACTTCTGTGTCCTTTTCATAGAGTTATCAAAATCTTGCTAAGAATCACTACCTGGTTATCAGGTCAACAATCTGTATCGTTGAATAACACAGAGCTTCGTAGTAACAGATCCTGTTCGGAATGGTGGAAGCTGCAGCTTTTTATCTTGATCCTATCAAAAGTTATTCAAAATTAAAGATTGCTCGGTGACTTTTGGCCAACCCTATAGTATCAGTTTGTGGAATATCATGAACGACGGGAAGAATTATTTGTCTGAAAGTCCCAGAAACGATCATAAATATTTTTTCTTCTTGAATATCAGTTATAAAATCGATGAATTCATTCACATCAGTGAATGGATGTATCTTGTTTACTATTTCTTTTAATTTGCTGATGGTATTGATACAATGGTCGTTATTCTTGTTGTCAATATTGGTATCGAGTCACACCAGGACGAAGTTCTGTACCATACGAGCATAAGAAGGTTGTTGTGACCAGTTGCTCGTATGTTCATATGATGTGGCAGCAGCAGTTGTTGTTATCGGCTTTATCTTTTTGTTCATAGTGTGCGTGTAGTGTTTTATCAATGAAAAAATATAAAATAAAATGACTTGAATTTATATAGTATATTAGAATTTTTTTCTAGATGTTTCTACTTGTTTTCTTTCTTCTTTTTATTTCATTTAAGTGCTTTACTTCTTTTTTTTAGTCTGTTGTTATTTGTAATGTTACAAGATAAAGAACGAGTGAAAAAAAGATTGCAACATCATTTCACACACATACTATGTCTTATTTCACTTTCTTTTTATAATGTCTAGAAGTTTTTTCTCTCCTACTACTTATGTTGTCACAAATGGATTTGTACATAGAAACAGAACAACGCTCATTGTTGTTTGAAAATGCATAGCGAATGTTTATTTGATTAGGTTTTTTCTGCTCAATTGAGCGTTCAATATCATACGGATCAAATGAAAACATAGATAAAAGATTGTTCTTGTAGTTAAGAATTGTTTTTTTTTAATGAAAACTCAATCAATTCTAGCATAGGATACAAAAAGTAATTTTTGCATTGATGATCTCACGCTATCATTAGGGAAAGACTAAATGAAACTATTATCATTGATGCGTTTTAGAAGCGAGGCATGATGTCTATGATATTTTTCTGTGGTTACTTGTTGATGTTGTTATAATTTATATTCAGCTTCAAAATAAGTTTATTTTGTATATTCACTCCGAGATCCAAACTAGACTCATCGTTTGTGAGATTATAAAACTTTCGAATGGATCAAAATGTCAAATTTAGCGAAAAAAAAACATGTTTCTATATTGTACAAAGCAGAATGATGAGTTTAATGCTCGTTTCATTATATACACCACAAATCAATTATTAAGAAACAAGCCGGATTTGTGTACTAATTGATAATCAATAGATATCGTATCAAAAGCTCATAAAATTTATAGTATTCCAATGGGCGAGAGCTCTTGACTAAGTTTCTATTCGTTTTTATTGATTTTTTTTATCTCCAGGTTGTTATGATTCTCTATCATTGAGAGTAATATAATGTAGATGTGAAGAAAAATGTATTTGTAGTTGACTATATATATGTATATGATGAAATTGTTTTAAAAAACTTCTAATAGATCGTACTATATAAAAGAATTTTTCATGACAATTTTTAACCAATTGTTATTTTATGTAGTATTCGAACAGGATAAGTTCATCATTTATCTGATTTAAAAAACTCTGAAGTTATATTAACTAAGAAATCGAAGTCTGCTGTATCGTCGAATCAACAGAAACCATAAATTGTTATTGAGCAGTGATCATAATTTCATTGAATTATTTTGACTTGAATTTATACTCTTACTGATGATATTATTAAAGAATTTCGAGCCAAGGGAACTGAAAACAATGCACAAGCAGTCAATCACATACAATCATCTCTTTAACTATCTTTGAAAGCAAAGAACTATGATGTGATTTTCATCTAATCAATGGAAAATAATCTATTTAATTTTGCAGGTTTCGCAGTGTCCGTGAGTGTACGTAGTTTTTACAGATACCTAATAAAAATAAACTTCAATATCCCATGATAAGACACATTAAAGTCGTCCTATTTATGTTTTTATCAACAATTTTATTATATTTTCTTCTAATCATTTACTAATAAAATAACAATTATCATTCTTTTATCACTGAAATATATCTCTTAAACTTATATTCAATACAGATATGATAACTTGATGCTTAATGAACATCATTAGTATTGCGATTAAAATGATAATACTGAATAAATCGAGTTTGGATGTTCAATGTACTAACATTAAAAATGATTATATTTGTAATTCATAAATAAAATCTATTGTTTTGTATTACTATAAAATAAGAATAATACAATTAGAACACGTACAATAGAACATAAAGATTAAATCAATTGAGAAAGAATGAAGTTTTTAAGGTTTATTTTTTATAATTTTGTATAAATTCTTCTGCTTTTCGTAATACATTTTGCATTTCATTATGTTTAACTAAATGACATGCATCTTGTAAATTTGACCAAATTAAATTTTGATGTTCATAAGATAACTTAATACTTTGTTGAGCATTTCGTATACAAGCTAAATAATAAAATACATGTTTCGGTCGTCCATTAACATCATAAGTAATTTTTTCTTCAAATTTATTATAATATTCTAAATCATTTTTATCTAAACCAGCTTCTTCTTGTGTTTCACGTTGAGCTGCTTGTAATGGTGATTCACCTTTGTCCAAATGACCTGAAATATAATTTATTAATCGCTACAAAATCAACAAATATAGATAACATTCAAAAGATTTGAGATAAGCTGGAAAAAGAAATATAACATTTGCTCTCTTATATTATCTTTTCTTGATGAACAACGAACTCTGAATTCTAGACAATGACTCACGTAATTCTGATTAATATAAACAAACATCCATGTGAATAAAATATTTTATTATTTCTTAAATAGCATGCCTTTTTTTCAATTTTCATTTAATATATTTTACCTTTGGGTGGTGTCCAATGATGTTCACCATAGGATGTTTGTAATAATAAATATTCAATAGGATTTCGTTCCAAACGTCGAAATATAATAAATCCTGCAGCTATACGTTTACTCATATTTAATGAAATAATCTAAGGATTTAACGTCATATTCAAGATCTTATACATCTTTCAGTATTACAAAACTGTCAACAACAAGCAAAAACAATATTTATTTCAAGAAAAAGAAAAAAGATGAGGTGAATGAAGCCAAATAAGTGAAATAAAATCGAACGTATAGACACACATGCACACGCATAAAAGGATAAAACTAAAGAAAAATAATATAAAAAAATGAACTTTTGTAAAAGTGGGAAATAAAATCTATATATGTATATATGTATATCGGTCGGTATTCATTTAATCAATTTTAACAGCAGCATAAATTTTCCTAACAAAGATGTATGATGCAATAAAACCGATTGTACCAGTAAGAATCCAAAATGTAAAACAGATCAATAATGTATAACCAAAATAAAGCATTAATGGAACAAATTCAGTTATATCAAGCTAAAAAAAAAAGAATATTTATTTATTGAAAAAAAAAACAAGTAATTTAATCCTAACACGACCACCTTTAGAATTACTAGTTGTTGTCTATCGAGGAGTGACATGTGAAGAATTGATTATAAAAAGCACAAACCATCAAGTAGTTTGAAATATATCTATCTAGTCTTTTTTTTTCATGGTCTTATTATTCTCTATTTTCGAGGCATTTGAAACCATGCATTACTATTCACATATACTTTAATCTGCTTTACATAAGAAGAATAATTGTGTATGATTGACTGATGTTATCTATTTAGTGTATTAAGCGTTCTCAAAGTATACCTAAAACGACATAGCTTGATACTATGTTATGAATGTATAATATAACAATGAATCTTATACTGTGGTTCGAGCGAATCTCAGGAAGTCAACAAGTGTTCACATGGACTTCGGAATGGTCTACTCACATAAATAATAGTTGAGCATAACTGACAGATATTATCTGCATACTTTACTAGACTTCACTAGAACCTATCTGCAAGATGAGTGGTTGACATCTAATATGGTGTACTTATAATAGTGTGATAAAACTGGCTGGGATCCGTGCAGACTAGAGTCCGTCAGGTCCAAAGTCTTCGAACCCGGACTCAATCCGATGAGCTCTAGCAAGGACTTCAAGTGGTCGTGTCAAGATTAAAGAAATTTACTTTGGAAAATAAATAAAAGATTGAATAACCAAATACATAAAATGCTGAACCTCCTGATGCAACAAATGATCGCCACCACCAATGATAATCTTCTCCACATAATTGAAAATAAGTTATAACAATCGAGATTTGTGAACAAGAAACTAAACAAAAACACAATACATATTCAAAATTTGATCATCTTTATAACATACTAATTATTATAATAAATACAAGAAAAAGAAAACCAAATAAATAATAATATTGATTTTCCCAAATAGCCTGAAAAAAAGATCAAAAACAAAATCTTGTTCAAATTAAATCAAATATTTTTTTTCTCTTACTTACCGAAAAAATAAAAAATAATTCAATAAACATAGCTCCGAATGGAAGTACACCTAAATAAATAATATCATCAGTTCTTTTTTTCCTTTTATCATTAATCACTTACCAGCAATTAAAGTACTACATAAGAAGAAAAAGAGATAGATAATCAAAAATTAGATGAAATTAATTCTTTTATTTACCTTAAAACAGGATGCATAAACCATTGTTGTTCTGGCACTTGTCTTGGAATTTGATTCGTTCGAACTGGTTGATCATATGGCTAAAATAAATTTTCATTTAATCATCATAGTTTTACTTATTTCTTATTTATTTTTATACTTACATGTTTACGATAACCAAAATAAAAGCCAAGACAAACAAGTGGAAATGAAATTCCTAACCACATAGTTAATATAGCAAGCATTGTTGAAAATGGAACAGCACCTGATGAACGTTTTCCCCAAATAAAAAAATTTAAAATAAGACAAACACCACAAACTACTGATGGATAAAGTGTAGCAGTCTAATACAAAAAAAAAAGAATAAACAAAATTAAATAAATCAATTTAATAAAAACAAAGATGATATTTTCATACTAATCCTGCTGTTTGTTTCCAATTTGAACCTTTTATTGTTTTATATATTCGACCAGAATAAAAACCAGCAATTAGACTAATTAAAAATAAAATATTATAAATATAATTTATTTGATCAATGTATGTTTTTCTTGCCCCATAAATACATAAAGAAAACAAGCAGCAGTAATTAATGCACCACGTGATGATGGTGAAAGCATTCCAAGTGCAGCAAAAACTAAAATAATTTGAATTAATTAATTTGAGAAAATTATTAAAAACAAACAAACCAATAACAATAAATGACATGAGAAGAAGTTGAACACCTGAACCAATTAGAGCTGCAAGAACATTCTTACGATGTGGTGGTCGAAATACATCACCATGTACTCTATCAATAACAATAAAATATTCAATTAGAAAAACAAAAAAAAGACAAAATATTGATATTAAACTAACAATTTCCATCCAGTTTCTTCAGTAACATCATCCTAAATAAAAGAATATTTTTATTTCTATTGAATTTTTTATATCAACAACAACAAAAAAAATCTAACTGTATCTTCTTGATTGTATCGTGCAATATCTCGACGAAGTGTTTTAACAATAATCATTGAAAGTATACCAGCAAGAAAAAAGACAACAATAACAGAATTTATTATTGAAAACCAATGAATTTGAACATCAGTCATTGCCAAATATGTATCCCAACTAAGAATAAATAAATTCATAGATAATAATTCATATAGATATTGTACTAACAAGGGAAGATCTCCAAGTATATGTCTGCCTTTTCAATCAGGTTTATGCCAGTTTGTAGAGTTCGATGAATTAATGTGCTGTAGAAAGGCCAAAAGGAAAAATATCGAAAATTTCAACTAAGAAGACATGTTTTATTTTTGGCATAAGGGGAGGGGGGGAGGGCGTGATGCACAAGTTCTAGTTTTCTCTTCACCTACATCCACACTCCAATCGATGAGTTGATCACGACGGTATAATGCATTCTTCCTCATAGACTATCTTTGAGAAGTTAAGTCAATCGCAACTTTACAACTGTTATTTCGAAAATTTTAATTTTTATGTTAGTGAAGTCCTAACATTACGTCTATACTTTGAATACTTCAAGCCTATTAATATTGTCGATGTACGAAACTCAACTGTTTGTTTGTAAAGCGTATCTAATATCAATTGTATATTCTTCTATTTAGGACATATATTAAAAATACACTTTTTTTTCTGTAAACATGTGAGATTACAACTAAATAGAATACAGACTGTTAAACTAATCCAATTGCGTACATCTATATTGAAATTTTTTAAAGAATAGACATTGTTAGGATTTCTTTTTATATTGATTACGTAGATGTGTACAGTCAATTTAGGCACAGTGAATGTTAAAGTTTTCAACGTTATGAACTACAGTAATATAAAAATTAAAATTTTCACAGTAACAGCTTACAGTGATTTCGTTGACGTTAAGCTCAATCTAACTTCTCAAAGACAGTATATGTGGAAGAACACATTATGTTATTGTGATCAGAATATCAGGCTTTACAAACTCACATGAAGCCAATTGAAAATTGAAATTCACACTTGGGGATCTTCCATCTTTTCTATTGGGAACACTATGGGAACTGTGTTACAAAACGTTCACTATGCTAAAGTGTTTAGTTTAGAGAATTGATGAATGGTTTGCCATGTCGTGATATATATTTTCGTCTAGATAATTTGAATGAAAAAGATTTTTTAATTACAACATAAAATTACACACTCGCACTTTCATCATGTTCTTTTTATGTACACTAGTGAGTTCGTAGGTAAAATGTAATTAGCCGTAGTACACATAAAATAGGTGATTGATAGTAGAAAAAGGTAAAAAAAAAAGTATTGCAGGTATGTTCACATTAGTGAGGTTATAATAGTAAGAGGGACTGCAAAAAAGTGTTTACTGTTCCGAATAAGAAGGTAACGAGCAAATGAAAGATTAGATAAATAATAAGACAATCGAAAATAATATTATCCTATAGTTCATTCTGAACTTTATTTTTTCTAATAATTATAAACATACCGACTTGCCCAACGTGTTTCACTTGATGCCCATTCAACTTCATAAGTCATTGTTACTTTATTTTCTCCTACAAAAAACAAAATTCTTTTCCATTCATTAAAATTAAATGCTTATTTTCTTAATAATTTAACCTTGTGGATTAAATTTTTGCATTTCTTGACCAGCTTGAATTATACATGTGTCATCATCTTCAACTTTAATACGTGCTGAGTCAATACTTTTTGGTTCAACTTCAAAACCAACAACACGATATAAATCTCTTAAAATACAAAAAGAAATTTTTTGTTTTTTTTTTGATTATCAAAATTCATATTCATACTCAGATTCTTGATGATAATGTAATCTCATAATTAAATGATTATTTAAATACATTGCTTCAGGTTCTTTTGTATAAATTCCTAAACGATAACCATGTTCATAAAATATTTCACGTGTATCAACATTTTGAAATTTAGTTGCACATGGAAGATTATCAATAAGACTTAAAAGATAAAAAAAAAACAATAACAATGAGAAAAATAATGTGTTTTTTATCTTACAGATGAACATAATAATTATTTCGAATACGTTTTCCAAGTGTTTTACTTTGTTCTAGTGTTAAGTACATATCTTTACAAAGTGTCCGACACTGAACATTTGTATCCATGCCAACCTAGTTTATATTTTAGAACTTATTTTTTTTTGTAAATAATTTTTCTTAGATTTTACTTTGAATTTTGTATTAACAATACGATCACCACGAAGAATTTCACCTAAACAAAGTTTTTTGTGTAAAAAAAATTTTTTTTTCAAATTTTTTTTACCAAGATTCTCTGATTTATATATTGTACCGTTTAACGGTTTACAATGAGCAGCTACATCGTAATAATCATATGGTAATTGAGTTTTTGTACTAGTCATTTTAACAGCCTGAAGATAGATTTAGATAATTTTCTTTTTTTTTTTCGTTAGAAATAAGTTACTTTAACTTCAACATTTTCGCCTTTTCTAAAATCAAGTGGAGCAACACCGGGAATGTAGAATGGAACAATCGGTTGAATAAAAAAAGTAGTGGTTAAAAAACTGATAAATAATGTTGCTACGACCATCTATGAAAAAAACGAATAATTGCAGTCTTTTATTCATACATGAATGAATGAAGTATGAAGAATATCATATACAAGTAAAATAAAAATGAAGGTTAAAAGAAGAAAAAAAACACAGAACGAAAAGAAGGTTTTTACGTGGCAAATGATCTCAGACAGAAGCGGTACTGAAAGTGAGACATTCAATTCACAAAAAGACGTAGATAGAAGGCTAAGAAACATCAAATATAAATAATAAATAAATACTATAAAAAAAAAACATACAATTGTTCTTATAGTTACAATTTTGTTTTAATTTGTTTATTTAGAGAAAGCTAATGTCACTTTCTTTTTCTATTTGATTAATTGCAATGAAAAATGCGTTAAAACAAGAATATATTTTTCATACTTATTTTATAAATATTTGACTTATAATCAATGTAGAGGTCGTTGTCAAGTGAATGATTAGTTTGAATGGCAATATGGATGTTTTTTTCGGAGTTGTATTAACCAAGGACATCTTGTCGTTTTAACAAATTATGGCAACAAAAGCCAAAACAGCGGTAAAATTAAAACCAATCGCTGGTCAAAACGAAGAGAAAAAAATTATTAATTTAACAAAAAAAACTCCTCCTCTTTCTTTAAATAATCAACAACAATTAAAACTAGTCGCTGGTCAAAACGAAGAGAAAAAAATGATTAATTTAACAAAAAAAATTCCTCCTCTTCCTTTAAATAATCAACAACAGTTAAAACCAGTCGCTGGTCAAAACGAAGAGAAAAAAATGATTAATTTAACAAAAAAAATTCCTCCTCTTTCTTTAAATAATCAACAACAATTAAAACCAATTATGTCAAATACATCAGAATTTAATCGATTAATTAGTGGAGATTTTACACAAGATTTTTCTAAACAAACATCACGTCTTTTTAGAATTTTTATTAGTTCAACTTTTTCGGATTTTAAAATTGAAAGAAATGAACTTTATCGACGAGTATTTCCATCAATTAAACAAAGATGTGCACAACTTGGTTATGAATTTCAAGTTGTTGATATGAGGTATAGATGGTTCTTTTTTTTTTGTTTAACAAAATTGAAACATTTCATTATAGATGGGGTGTCTCAGATACAGCTGATAGTGATCATACAGCTGATATAATATGTATGGATGAAATTGATCGATGTATTGATCTATCAGCTGGTCTTAATTTTATTTATTTAATTGGTAATCGTTATGGTTATATGTATTGTCCAATTGAAATTGATGAATATGAATTTGAAACAATTCTTGAAATTGCACGTGAAGAAAATATAGCTAACATTGATCTTATACAAAAATGGTTTCAACTTGATAAAAATTCTTGTCCACCGAAGTATGTTTATGTTGTAAGTTTATGTTTTATTGTGTTGGCTTTTTATTAAAAAAAAAGTAAAAATCAATTAAATATGTTTTTGTTTTAATAGCCAATTACAACTTATTTTAAACATTTTGAAGAACAATCAATTGAACAAGAACAAGAAAAAAAACAATGGCAAATAGAAGAAAAATCTTTATTAAAAGCATTGCGAGAATCTGTTGATAAGGCATTTCAAAAGAAAAAATTATCTTATCAACAAACTTTGAATTATTTTCAATCAAGTCATATTTTTTCTAGAATTAATTTAATTTCTACATTTTATATATGGTTTATTTTTTGTTTTTAGTTACTGAACGAGAAATACGTCGAGGAACAATGGAAAAAAATCGTTCGAATGTTATTGGTATTGTTCGTGATTTTTCAAATCCAGTTATTGAAACAGCTATAGATGCAAAATTTTTTGGTTGCCAATAAAAATCTATATCTTCTGTTAGAAAGAAAATTTTATTTTTTATAGATTCAACAAAAAATGATCGTATAACTAATTCAATAGACCAATTAAAAACACATTGTGTTAAAGTAACACCAGCAAAACAATTTAAAAAATTTCTTGTACCATGGGTAAATAGAAAAAAAAAAGATTCAATATATTAAATCGTGATTAAATTTCATAATTTTTCAGAAATCTGGTGGTTTAAATATAACAGATGAACCATCTCATCGACAGTATATTGATGAATTTTGTACATTTTTAACATCAACTATAATGGAATTAATTGACAATACTTGTCGTAAAATATCAAATAAAACACTTTCACCATTTCATGAAGATCTTCTTCATCATGCAATATTTTCTCGAGAAAAAACGAAATTTTTTTTTGGTAGAGAAGAACTTTTAGCAAATGTTCATTCACGTATTGAATTAAATCGTCGAAATATTTCAACACCAATTGCTTTTATTGCTGAATCAGGTAGTGGAAAAACATCATTTATGGCACGTTTAGCAAAAGAATTACGTATATGGTATCCAACCAGTGCTATATTCATACGATTTTTGGGTACATCAGCACCATCAACAAGTATTGAATTAGTTATACGTTCATTATGTAAACAATTGAAAATTTTATATGGAAATGATGATGATAATAATAATAATGATGATGATGATGATGATAATTCTTTAACATTTTCAGCACTTGTTCGAATATTTCATGAACGATTAAAATCAATATCAAAAAAACATTTAAAAAATCCTCAAAAAAGATCTCGACCAAAACCATTATTTATTTTATTAGATGCTATTGATCAACTTGAAGATACATCTAAATATTCATTTCAATTTGATTCATGGTTATTACGTTATTTACCACGTGATGTTCATATATTTATATCATGTATACCAATAATTGAACATTATAATTTAAAAGATTTATTTTTACAATTTATAAGAAATGATGATTCAACATTATTTACAGTACCACGTCTTCGTCCAAATGATTGTGAAGATATAATTCGAAATTCTTTACAATCATATAATCGACAATTAACACCTGAACAATATATATATTTATTAGCAACTATAGAACAAAATCCTAAACCTTTATATTTAAAATTATTAATTGATATAGCTCGACGATGGACATGTTTTCAAAATCAATCATTACAAATAATTCTTTCATTACCTGAAACAATTGAAGATGCTATTGAACAATTATTTGCACGTTTAGAAAATCGTCATGGTAAAGAATTTATACAATATTCACTTGCTTATTTAGTTTATGGTTTAAATGGTATATCAGAAAATGAATTAGAAGATTGTTTATCAATAAATGATATTGTTTTAAATGAAATTTATTCTCATCATGATCCACCAATACCAAATGCTATACATGTACCATCACTTCTTTGTCAATCATTTCTTTATTCAATAAAAGAATATATTAGTCATAAACATATACATAATAAACATATATTATCATTTTATCATAGAAAATTTTTTGAATCAACAAGAAAACGTTATAAACATTTACGTGAACAATGTCATGAACATCTTATTGATATTTATTGTAATGATCAAACATCATATAAACGTACAATAATATTAAAAAAACGTAATAATAAAATAATAAATGATGCTGATCGTTTAATAAATACACAAATAACAAATATACTTAATAAAAGAAAATTAATATCATTACCATATCATTGTTTAGAATTTGGTTTTGAAAAAGATAATTTATTACGATCAATATGTTTATTTAATTTAAAATTTCTTTCATGTCAATTAAAAAGTCTTGGTCATACTATATTTCTTGATACAATACGATATTGTTTACGTTTAAGACCAAATTGGATTGATTTGAAACGTCTTTATCGTTCTATATGGTCAATTGATGATGAATTTATTGAAGATTCCGATGTTTCATTAATACTTGCAGAACAAATACTTGGTTTTATTGATGACTATCAAACAAGTCAATTATATGATAATAATAATCAATTAAATATAAATAATGATCTTGAAAAACTTCTTCTTGATTGTCGAAAATATTGTAATGAACATGATAATTCATTTTGTTCATTATATGCTGGTTTTCCACAAGAAACTGATGCATTAGCATGGAGTTTTGCACCTGTAACACATGTATTATATACTAATGAATTTTATACACTTGTTGTTCTTGATGGAATACAAAATGAAGATGAAACTCATTTTATTCAAGCATCTACAGTTGCTATGATTAATTTACAAACAGGAAAAGTAAAACAAGGAAATTTTTTTGAAAATCAAAAGAAAAAAAATCTTTTTTTTTTTGTTGTTGTTGTTGTTGTTTTTTAGGTAGATACAATATATTTCGATGAAAATTTTCGTAAAATTTGGAATGGTTATATAACAAAAAATGGAAATAAAATATATTTATTTGGAATTAATACAGTACAAACATTTAATAGTCGAACAGGTGATATGTTAAATGAAAGAATATTATCATGGGATAATAAATCATTTGGTAATAAAGCTTATTGTATGACAAATAATGAAGAGTAAGTTAGTTTAAACAAAAACAATAAATTTTTTATTATTATTTTTATTGTTCGAGAAAAGAATGTATAGAATGAGATTATTATCACTCTCATGTTGTAAGATCAAATTATCTGTCTACCAAAATTTCATAAAACAAAAAACATAGAATAATAGTCAATACTAATTGTGTATAAACAAATACTGAAATAATGCAAAAACAAAAATCTTTTCCGACAGAAACAATCAAGAAATAAATCGAAAACACTAGACTAAATGAATCTCGATATTTTTTGAAATTTTATAAAACTTAAAATTTTTCATTGTATCTAACATAATGTCTTTCAATGTTCATAGATTTTCAAATAACTTTTTCACTATAAAATCTATTAAAATTTGACTTTCATAATATTTAAATTTATTTAGAATTGTACATACATTATCCACTATTGATTTGAATCTTAGAAACCAAGACTTTTTTCTTTTGTCTCTGATTGTTTATTTGAACATAAAATTACTTTGTTTGTTGGATTTAGTTATTTAAGAACTTAAATATTAAATTTACAAATTGAACTAACATTAGTTTTATAAAAGCAAAAAAAAAACATACATGATTTTATTATTTCGATAGTATTGTGTACTTAATACAGTTATTTTACAGGCAATTAGTGGTGGCTAATGAATGGCGTATTATAGCATTGGACGAAGTTGATGAGAAAGCAATTTATCGAGTATGTGTTCAAGCATTTTTTTTTAGTACTTATATATTTCAAATATTCTATATATTTGTTGATTAAATAAAAGAAATCGATGAATGAAAATGAAATGAAGCATTTTTTTCATTGGTTTTTTTCCTCAAGAGTATTCATTTCTATGAATGATCCTGATTATCATAATAACAATATTAGCTTTTATTTTTACGGAAATTAAATGCAATACAACACATTTATGAGGTTATCACGCTCATTAATCTTGAAGTATATTTCCGTTCAAAAATCAAAAAAATGTCTGGTTTTAAAAAGAATTTCAAGATGAAAAAACTCTTCAAGCAATTCTAATTAGTATTAGTTGAAATAAAACATAATTGAACCAAAAAATTTTTTTAAAAGGTTTTATTGTTTTTTTAATATTTTAGAGTGGTCGCATACCAATAAAAAATCCATCATTCCAAATAGAAAATAGTACGAATGTTGAAGTTTGCCTTCGATGTATTGGTGCTAATGATGATTATATTCTTTGTCTTATATTTGATGAAAATAATCATGTTCTTATTACACTTTGGTCATTAAATGAACATATTGAAATGTTACCAATGCGTTTTGCTTTTGTATATCATAATGAATCATCATCTAGTCTATTTGATTTACCATCAAATAATAATGAAAATTTATATCTTGCTAGTATTAATGGAGATGTTCGAATATTAGATCTTTTGAAAATAAAAACTAAAACTAAAGTACTAAGTTTATCTAGTGATGACACGATTCAACAAGTGACTGTTTTACAAAATCAAGAATTAGATCGTTTAGTTTGTTTGTCTGATGATATAATTGCTATATCAACAACAAAACATATAACTTTATTTGATCGAAAAAATTTTTCAAAAATTTTACAAACAATTAATCTAAATGAACAACTTTTTAGTTGGAATATGATTAATCAAGATGATCATAATAAAATATTAGTAACAATTGATTCCAATCAACAATTTATAACAATATATCGTCAAGAAAAAAATATTCTATCATCATTAAATCAAATGAAAATTGAATTTCGTTCAAATGTTCAATATATTCAATTAATTCAAACAACAACAATTATGGATAATGATGAAAAGAAAAAAACATATATTTTAATTTTACTTGATGATCAAACAATACAATTACTTGATACAAATCAATTATCACAATCAAGTTTACAACCAAAAGGTTTATTTACTCGAATTAAAAATTATAGTGTATTATATACATTTATTCTTTTTGTTTTGTTTTATTTTTTAAATTTTTATTTTTTATTTTTTGTTTTTGTTTAGATGAGTAATACAAGTATTACTGCATGTGAATATGATTTCAATTGTCCATTAGTAATTTCTTTTTCGGATAATCATTCTTCAACTCCACAATTATTACATTCATTTGAAAACATGAATATTGAACATATTGCTATGTTGAATAATGATCAATATTATGTAATTATTACCGGTGAATATATCGTTCGAATTTATTCAATAAATAATCTTAATCAATCAGTTTTTGAATATAATCTTAAAATAAAATCACAATCAAATTTATTTTCATTACAAACATATCATTCAAATATAATTATATTTATGTTTATGAATCAATTTATAATTTTACAAATAAAATTTTATGATATTGAAAATATATTTCAAATTCAATCAGAACAAATTTTTTCTATTCCATTTCGTGATATTAAATATTCTCTTGAATTTACACCAGACAATCATTTTCTTATTCTTAAACAATCATTAAATCTTGAAAATAATCCTGATCTTTATGATTTACGTATTTTTACTTGTGATAATCAATTTAAAATTTCACCTATTAAAGAACCTATTACTTATATTAAATCAAAATTAGCTGCTAGTGGTAAAATTATTGCCTTTACAACTTATGCATCTTCATTTACTCGATCAATACTCTGGTTACCATATCAAGGAACAATATTACATGTTCGTCTTCCATCATATTTAGCTGAACTTGAAATACGTTCAGATTATCATTGTTGGATGCGTCATTCTCTTGCAATGTATGAGAAAACAACAGAAAAATCTAGTTTATTAATAATCATAACAAGTTTAGCTATACAATCATCGAATGATTCATGTATAGCATCTGGAGGTGATGATGGATCGATTGTAATTTGGCATTTGACAAATAAATATACTCATGAAGTCTTAGAATCAATTCATATGGATCAGGTAATAGAAATTCATTAGTCAAATTCCCGAAGGAAATTAGTTTTTTTTTGTATGTTTCTAATAAGATGACTGAAGGAAATAGAATTTTGATTGAAATAGTTTTTCAATTTTCTATTGCCATTGATAATGTCAATAGAAGAAAACAAAATTAGAAATTTATTTTTATTGAATATTATTATAATTATTTTTCTTTAGATAACTGATCTTAAATTTGATACAAATACAAATCGATTATTTTCATCATCATATGACCGTACACTAGCTATATGGTCTCCTATTAAATTACTTCATGTTCTTAGAGCACATATACCTATTGATAGCATTAATCTTTTTTCTATTTCGAATATTCTTCTTGCTCGTGCGAAATTCTGGGGATTTGATCGACTTATGATGTTTTATATTGGTAATTATTTACAACAATCAACATCTATAAAACAAAACAATATTAATAAAGAACTTAAGAATATGACGGATATACAAGCATGCGATGTAGCAAGTTGGGCTTTATAGTAAAAATAAAATAAAGTAATTCCAAATGCATCAATCATATCTTGATTCATCGTTTCGTATGAATAGTAAAGAAGTTATATACATATATATGTATATATATATATATATATGTTAGAATACAAATGATAGATTCGAAATAATCTATTTCTTTTAATTGTCAATAATATCAATTGATGTCAAAAATCAAGGAAAAACAATATACAGATCATTAATTTCGTCAAAGTAGAGAAAAAGAAGAAAATTTCTTTTGACATATGATTTTTTTTTCTGCTTAGTAAACACATGAACGGAATATAATTATATTCAAGACCAGAATTTCCTTTTTTTTTTTTCTTTTAAACAAAAACCAGAAGAATAATTATTAATGTATTATTATTTTTTATTTACACGATTAAAGAATAAGACGAAAAAAAGAAATATAAAAGAACAAAAAAATCGTATATCCGACAGAAAACATATAAGATATGATTTAGTAAAATGACCATCAATAATATGATGAAGTATTTAGTGTCAATGAGATAGATGTGTTGATGAAACTCTTATTAAACGTTGCCCTAAATAAATGCTACCTTGACGATCTTGAATTTTTGTTTGTGCACGTAATGTAATATGTCGTCGAAGAGATGTACAACTAAATAGACGGACAACTTCACTACGAAAACGTTGACCACATATAACATAGACAAAAAAATTTACACAAAACGATGCAAAAAACCAAAGACGAGCTATATTAACCGCATTGAGCATCCATGTTGGCTGGTGTTGAATAAATAAGAAACAGAATAATGATAAATGATAAGGTAAATTAAAAACAAGAAACACAGTTGATGCAGCTAAAAGCATTTTCGTTGTTTTAGCTGATGCTGTTGCTCGGCATTGAGTCGAACGAATTCCAATTGATGTATTTCTCTGATATAATGGAATTTGTCTTGCCGATGAAGTAGACGCTATCGACACATTACTTCTGCTTCTTTTGTGTCGCTCTAACGGCCTAACACATAAAAGAGAATTATTTTGTTGTTGTAAAAGATGATTTGTTTCACTGTAAATATTATTATTATTATTATTATTATTCGGACTACCATTTGTATTAGTAGCATTACTAAGATTGCCATTGCTCAATTGAGATAATGGAACAGCGTCCGAAACTGATTGTGCCGATGAATTACTTGATGATTTTAGTGACGGACATTTAACTGATGTTGGCACATTTGATATAGGTAATTTTAATTTATATGTAAAGTTTGAATGAAGTTTATAAACAATAGCTAAATTCATACATGTTATACATGAAAATGGTATAATAAATGTAAATAATGTGTCCAAAACAAGAAATGGAAATAATAATGGTTTATTTCGATCTTCTTCACAATAAACAACATTTGTTGAATTGGAACGAAATTTTGTTGTTGTTACAGGAAATGATAATGAATAAAATAAACATGCAAATATTAATAATGTTAATGCTAATACACGATTTGTACGTTGTTTTAAAAAAGCTGTTGCTTTGATTGGAAAAAAAACAGCTATAAGACGATGACTTGTATAAGCCAATGTGAAATTTGATGATAAAAATGATGCTATATGACTTAAATAAATTGTTAACATACAAACAGGTATAGTCATAACTGGTACATGTAATTCATCAAGTAAAGCTATAACAAGTATAAGTATAAATATAAGATCAGTTATAGCAAGACAACTAAGAAAAAATGATGAACGTAATGAACGTAAACGTCTTTGAGAAAAAACAATAATTGTTGTTGTATTACCAATAAGACCAGTTAATCCAATAGCAACACAATATGCTAATTGAAGTTTCGATGACAATGTCATATTTACATCAGCTACAAGAGGTTTATATAATGATGATTATAATGATGACGGTGAAGAAATAGATAAAATGATCGGCGTTAATGTGACTAAAGAACTGTTGGATGCATGGTATGCATCGTAAGAACTAAAAAAGAAAAAAGAACATTTCTTTTTATCTTTTATTTCCGTTTTCCTTTTCTTTCTTTCTGTTGTCACCAATCACAAAAAATTTCAAAGTTCTAAACTATAATTATTTTCTGTCATTTTAACTTCTTTTTCTTTTTTAAATACTTTATCATGTTTAAGAACAAAAGTATCATGTTGTCTTTTTTTTTTGTTTAATAATAGTAAATTGCTTTAGATTTATCGTATTAATTCTATAAAAACAAGAATATAATTTAATTCTAAAGAAACACGAGAAGCAAAATCGAACAAAATAATACTTATCTAAATATTTCTTTCAACGAAATAAAAGACTTTCTAGAGCAATTTATTAGTATAAATGCTTACTACGTTGCATGTCTAGCATACGATATTAGAGTGCCCCTTTTTTTTTTACGTTTTATTAAAAGCTATAGAATTCAACAGCTGTTTATAAGAAATAATAGTAACTAATTGATAGACAGCTTAACAACTGTGATTCTAATGTAAATTATTTTCATGATTGATATTCTTTCTAATCATATTCTATTCATTTTTATAATCAGTTAGAGTACTACATATGTATGTCATAAAAGTTTGATGACTTAAAAATTCTAAAAGGAATACACAACGCAACTAGAATTGATTAGATATATCTTTTTTTTATTCTAAGAACATTATGGGATATATTAGCAATTCAAAAAAGTCTCTTTGGTTTTTCCTTGAAGATAAATCAATGTCAATACTTGAACATGTGTGAATATAATTTGTTTGTTTAGATAAAAATTATGATAGAATAAGAAAAACAAAGAATACTAATCATACCTTGGTAATTGATTTTCTATTATCAGTATTTTTATTGTTATTAGTATTGTTATGAATAGCGTTAAAGAAGGCAAAAAGTTTTTCCTCATTAACATATTATATAAACAAAAAGTCAAGGAGATAGAAAAATAGTATTTTTCTGCTACATATGTATGTCTGTTATTTTGATCGGATCTTGATGTTTATTTTATATATAGAGTTGATATATAGACATATTTATGTGTTGCCGATTTTAGTAATTCTTCTTCCTACGCAGTTATTGTCTAACTAATAAACAGTCTACTTAGTTTACGAAGAAAAAACGGATATGCAGAACGAAGAAATTTTAAAGAAAATCTTCTTGAATGATTCATATAATGTTTTTATATGATAATTCTTCTCTTCTTTCTTTCTTTATGAATTAATAATAAATCATTAAAATCTTCATTTTTTTCTCTACCTATTATTATAGAGATTCATTTTTATTAATTATTTTTTGGTCAACAATTAATTAATTATTTTAATTTATCTTACCTATTAAAATTTTACTTCAGTACCTAGAAAGTGTTGATAATAATAAAGAAAACTATTATTTAAAAAGAATGTTAATAATTATTATTATTCTTCAAATTGTTTTATCTTAGTTTCTTTTCCGGTTTTTTTCTTTCTTTTGATAGATGAATTCAATATACGAATATATTAGAAAAGAAAAAGATGAAGTAATTATTAATGACCGCAACAAACAAATCCTTAATAATGAACGCATGCTAGTCTGTCAAAGATAGGGAAGTTAAGAAGTCATGTACTTGTAACTATTCTATTCTGAACCCTTTATAGGAACACTAACAATGTCACTGATATTTGTTTTCTATGTCATGCATTGTGAAGAGGAAAAGCAGAAAATAATGACTCTTTTATTTTCTATTGATAAATAATGATGTTTATTAGAGCAAATAATGTCTTGATTTAATGATTTCATTTCTTCTTCTTTTTATTTGACATTATTTTTAAAATACTCCTATGAATAATTATTTTAATAATTATTGAGTTAGTAATGTGTTAATGATAGACTTATAGAAGTATTCTAGTACAAAAAACCGAGATAAACAATAATGTGATAACTATAAAAACAAGTTGCTAATAAAGTACAGCTGCTTTCAATATAATATTGATTAGAACAAAACCTTTGCAATATTCGAACTTTCTAGTAAGAATATACACACTTTAATTATCGATATACTCATATGAACTTTAAATAATCGAACGAAAAAAAAATATATCGGCTGTATTACGTGATTCAGTGAATGGTATCGATTTCTCAGAAAATATTTTTTTTCGTATTTCCATAGTTCTTTTAAAAGGTTAAGAAAACATCTAAGCGACTTGACAGTGTCAATTAGACTTCACATCAAATATGCTTTCAGATCTATATACAAGTGTTCGATAAAAACATATATTGAGAAACTCTCTGTCTAAACATCAAACAACAAATACAATTTTTGAATTTTTTTCAACTAATTCAATTTAGACAGTATTATTAGACTTCAAATAGAAAGGCAAATTGATTCTCTAACAATGAACAACAAATATTCATGGAATACTTATTTTGAAAATGAGTAATTCAATGAAGAAAGCATCACTTCACTTAAAATGTAGTTTGCTAGCGAATCAAAACAATGTATATTAACAAAAATCTAATTATACTTACTCGATAGAGCTTTTACGACGTTGTTTAGCAAGACACTCTTTCTTTTTTTTTGCAATTGAATATTACTTCAAACAAAAAGTATAATATTACAAATAATATTCAACGTAGATCTTATTCATTAAATCTTATAATAGAACATATAAATTTTTTTATTAAAATTAATCAAAAATTGTGGACAGTTATATTATATATATCTTTAAATAAAAAAATTCAAATCATATATTGTTTCTTTCACTTTGGACATTTTCAAGAAAAAAAGGAAAAAATGTTGCAAAATTTTTACAGTACTAAGTATACTTGTAATTTATTCAAATACTTCGATCATAATTTATGAAATCTATGACAAATTGTTAGGAAATTATTATTGACTCCAAAAGTAAAAGCATATACTCGACCTTTTCTTTTTTTTTTATATGTGCGCATTTATAGAAAAGAAAAACCCTGCGGAAAATCGACTATAGTTATTTTTATGCTCTCCAGGCACTAGACAATTTTCATTCAAAGCTTTTTGTCGTACGTTTTATTAAAAAAAAAAGGATTAAAATATACGAATAAATCTGAAGTCTTTTATATTGTTTATTGACAATAGCTTTATATGAAAAATGGTTGTTTTCAATAGTGAAACTTTAATTAATTATAAAATAATGATGAATCAAATAGAACACATAGGTAAATATTTAATAAATTGTTCTTCTATCTATCGTTTTTCATACTGTAAAATAATATGACATTAAACGAACTTATAAATTTTATATTACTTTTAGCATAATAAATATTTTTATGCATATTAATATTTAATTACGAAATATACTTTATCTAGGTCAAAAGGTTTCCTTATAATTTTTATTAAAAAGACACGTTTCTTTTTTTTTTCTAAATTAATTATCAACATATCTTCAATCAGTGTTAAGTAGTCATTACGATAGAAATATCTCTTTTTTTTTCTTGGTGTTTTAGACTCTAATTTATTTTCTATGCTTTGCCTACGTAGATAGACCGCATGTCGCGTTCATTTCATTTATGTAACTGTTGTTCATCCATTAGTTATTTATTGCTTAATGGAATACATTTAGTTCTTCAATATGGAGTAGGTGTACATCCGTTCATCATATAAGATAAAAAGACACATGAATAGTAATTTTAGTTTCTATTTTTTTCTTAGTTTTAAATAGAAAAAAAACAAAAATTTCAAATCAAATTTTAATTACCGTAGTGTAATCATAGTTGTCGTTGATATTTTAGACAATATCCTTATATCATAACATCATCATTTTTCTATTAGGAAATATTAATAGTGTGACCTTCATCATCATCATCTTTCGGATGCTGATCTTTTCTTTTTTTTTTCTATCAGGATCGTCTTTCTATATTTCTTTTTTTTTGCACTCTAATCGAGAAAAAGTCCAACGAGTGCATTTATCAATATGATTCTCAATAAACAAAAAAGAATCAACACAGACAAGTTGCAAATCTCAAGATAAAATTTAACTGTGAAACTATAATTTAAATGATAAACTTCAAATCTAGGCTTTTTTTTTGAATGTATATTCTAAAGATCATCATGGTTTTTCTTGTTAAGTAATTAACTGTTCTTGTTAAACCATAAAAACAATTGGCTTTATCAAAATTGTTTTATACGTCAAAATGATGAAATAGGAATTCATATACACACATGTCTGAACATTTCTGCTTGATTAAATAAATACTTGACTAATAGTCATAGATATACCAATCTTAACGATTCATTTGAATCAATAATGATTCAATCGATTGAATAGCTATTAGAACTATTCGTTGGATATAAAGATAATTCTTTTCATTGGTATAATGAAAGCGAAAACAGTATCGCAAAAATATTCAAATAAAAAAAAAAACTTATGATGGAATATGAGAAATAATTCACGAAAGAAATAAATAATTTTCTTAAAAAATAATAATAATCATTATTATTTAACAATAAATATAGACTTGTGCGTGTATATATATATATATATATTTGCTACATATGATGAAGGTTATAAGTGGAAACTTCAGAAAAAAATTGTTATTTTAATGATACTCTTAATTCAATCTCGGAAATGGCGTTATTAGAAAAAGAAAAATTCACGTTATACACTATTATTTTGTTTTTTCTTTTTAATATTTCCAACTTCAATAGAATTTGTAATTTAAAAATAGTCATGATATGTGATAATTTTAACTCAACGATATAGTATAAATCTAAGAAATTCAAAGTATGAATATTATTGTATATTATAATTTTATTCTTTAATGTCAGAAGTCATAAGAAAATCAAATATTATCCATTTCTTTATGTTCATTCTCAAAAAAATAAAATCATTCATAGAAAGCAATCTTGCTTTATAAACTATAAATAGACATAAATAAGATCAAACACTATCTGATAATCTTATTATGACATATTTTATTTTTATATTTAATAAGTCAACGATTGATCATATAGACATTGATAGAGTAAAAAAATATGTTAACTAGCATATTAATGATCTAATTACAAATTCACGTCAAAATGATTATCATCCGAAAAAGAATCAATATGACTCATGAAATAAACAAAAACATCTTTACCTCGTCGAGAAAGATATTGCAAATGATTGTATTCAAATTCCAGAGAAGAATAAAAGACTTGAGTGGAAAGAATTATATGATTGTATAATAAGCTACCCAACGAACGACAACTTCAATACAAAAACAGACACTAAGTGTTTTTTCTGCTATAGAAGCAATCAAAAAAAACAAATCATCTTTCTTGATTTGGTATTTAGCAGTTTCCTTCTAGCACATGTGTGGATTGGATGTTATTTTGGACGAAAAAGAGTTGGACCGTTCTAATCGAACAAAATTAATGTATTAGTAAATCTTTTGTATTAAATCTATTCTTTTTATGACTTAATAAATTAATTTCATAATAATAATTCGAAATGACTTTCTTAAGCTCAATGCTTCAACATTGACAAATACAACAATGTGTGTAAAACTAATCCATACGAAAAAAAAACAGAGTCCTTCGTTTATTATTAAACTGACAACATGATCAATGAGTCAAATTGAAAAACCAAAAAAACCCACATCGTTTTAGCGGTTAATGTCTTATAAATGATTCTAGTAGAATATATGATTGGCTTCGTCATGTTTTTATCATTATCAATATTCTAATAAGAAAAACATTTGTCAAAATATGAAACATTACAAATGACTCAAGATTATATAAGAAAAATTCTTATCAATTTTATATCTTAATAAAATTTTTTTGATTAATAAAAAGAAATTATTTTTCAATGATTTCATTAATTTATATATTGATCATAATTATTTTAATTATATTTCATAATAGAAAAAAAAAAACAACGATATTATTTAATTTTTTGAACAGAAGAATATTAATCGATTCTAAAATGAAAAATCCTGAGACATTGACAAGCAAATACACACACAAAAAAAAAGAAGTGTTCAAAGAAAATTAAAAAAAAAGAAAAAACTTTTGATAAAAGCTAATATAAATAATCTAATCTTTACGATTAGAACGATGACGACGATGTGTTTGAGCACTACCGGGTGGTATATTATTTGTATTTGATTCTTTTAAATGATGTTCGATATTTGAACGAGCTTTTTGAAGAACATCTAATGTTGGCTGGACTAAAATAGAAGAAAAACAAACACCAGTTCGAAATAAATACACTTATTTATCATAATCTAATATCATATTTGTCTTAGATTCTTGTTTTTTTGATTAATATTCTACTACAAGTGTACAATATAAAATTGTATTCTTTCTATATTCGGAACAAAAAAACATGTTTTATTGTAATTCGGAGAAGCTTAACATCTTATCTGTCTATATGTCAGATAGTGAAAGTTGTTGACAACTTATATATCATGATTATCTTGGACACTATACCACCTACGTGTTGACAGATATTTTCATGTTTCAGTTTAAAAATAAAAGCATTAAGAGTATCATCTCACTTTCGACAAAACCTATTTTTGTTCAAAACAAAAAAGAAATTACTTTTTGAGATAAACATATAAGTATAATATCTAAGTCCTGTATGGTTATATTCTCGAGCAAATCTAGGCAACAACTAAAAAAAAAAACAATTCAGTAAATCTATGTTCTATGAATGTTGTGTTTTGCAAGCAGCATAGTCGTAAGAATTTTGATTAATTTTTGTCATGAAAATATGACATCGATATATTTCATGTCGATATCCAATTATAAGTATAAAATGTAGAAGAAAAACATGATTTTTGTGTCAACAACGACCTTCCACTCAAGGTCTTTTCTAATATATTGTGTTCTAGACAACTATGCGCTTTTTATCTAATGTATTATAGTATGTAATGCTCTTTTGGATGATTCGAAAAAGGGACTGTTCAATAAGTCTATAGTTGTACAGGAAAGATTATATATCTCAGACACTTTTGATGATGATTCCAGATTTTTAACGTTTCGATAATTCTCAAAATTAAAGACAGTAACAATAAAAAAAAGGTTCTTCCCTTGACCTGAAAAGTTAATTAATTCTCTTTCAAATGAAACAATTTCCGACTGTATACTTTTGAGTATAGTGAAAAAGAACTTTTACAAGTCATGGATACATTGTAGATCGTGATCTCAAGAATACTTTTGAGCACTGATATTCAAGATTGTAAAAAGAAAATATATTTTCAATTTCACTTTTATGTGCCCAATATTTGTGAAAGGTGTCATAGGAATTCCCTAAACTGTATCCAAAAATTGATTTCTGATGGGAGACAGTCTTCATCAAACTTTCGATTAGAATTACAATTAATCTGTTATATTTATCGTTTACAACAAGGCCATAATAGCTTTTTATTCTTCTCACACTTAACTATCAACAATGATGTAATCTAACCACATAATAATAGGTCATTAACGTGCATATTACTTTTTAGGCTATCAAGTAAAATTTGCTAAAAATAGTCTAATGTCAAAAAGTTCATGTATCATTTTATAGTAAAAATACTCATTCTCTTATGTAAAAAAAAATAAAGGAAGTTTAATTCAATACATAATAATTATCAAAATATTAAAGAAAAAAAAAGTGTAATAAATTCATTATAATCAATAAGCTAAAGAATATACAACCACACACACACAAACATAATAATAAAGTAGTTAGAAGCAAATAAGAATAATTCATAAATACTACGATAAACTACACAAATACATTGAATAAACTAATATAAGTGAATTTAATTATTTGTTTAGTGAATAATTTTGATATTTGTTTACAAACCAAACAAACAAAAACTTACGTAACAATGCCAAATATTCGCCTGTATCAGCTTTTTTGCGATTCACTTTCTGCAAGAATTGATATTAAATAAGAAAAACGGATATATTGATTATTCTCCTCATATATATATATGTAAGAAAATTAAAAACAGAAAAACACGAGGAAAAATAAAACGAAACTATGCTTTTTTTCTGGTTCCGATAACTTACTGTTAATTGAGCAAGTAATTGTTCTAAATAATTTGATTGTTCTCGATATTTTTGTTTTAAAAATCGAAGATCTTGAATATATTTTCTTTGATTAAATAAAAGACGTTTATTCTAAAAAGAATAATAAATAATATAGATATGAATTTCAAAACAAAATTTAAATGAAATAAATTACTTCTTCTATGAGACGATGATCAATAAATATATGTTCATTATATTTATTTTTTTCTGGTAAATCAGCTTTCCAATATGTTTCAATTAAATCAAGAGCATGTGTTAAGCGTCCATCAAGTTGATTTAAACGTTCTTCGAGGGATCGTGTTGATGAATTCTGGTAGAAAATTTAAAAGAAAAATATTTAAAATATAATAAAATGATTTATATTCTTCTTATATCAGTATTCTTATACATGACATAAATATTTCTTGAATTTTAAATTGTCTTCACTTCAATAATTATGAATTAATAATGTAAATAAAGAAAATAATAAATGTATAGTTTACATTGACATAAACTTGCGATTATATGAATATCGGATCGAGTATGCATATTTATTAAAACGTCGTGCTCAGAAAAATGGCGTAGTACCGAACAGGACAGCGTCGTATTTAGAAAGAAGATATGGTGCTAAGAACTACGGCATGGACTAACTATTCATAGAAATAAGGCTTTTTTTAATGAGGCTAACTTGAGCCGAAATTCTAACTTCCATAAAAGCGTCGATGTCTTCTAAAACTTTGATTTCAATCTAATCGTATTTTAATATGAGATTATAACTCATGAATGAAATGAAACAAATTCTTTGTCAGTGAAGAAAATAGAAAAGATGAAAATTAATACCAATTTAAAATTCCATTAAGAAGATACCCTCTCCTTTCAGAATGTTAAAATCAAAATTTTTCCAGTTTTTGATATAGCTTCGAACTATCCTCTATCAAATGCTAAATGAGGGTTCTTCATTGTTAGTTAGTACTTTTATTAAACTCAACTCTCGAAAACCGAAGCAGAAAAACTTCCGTTGCCATTTTTTTTGTATGGAAAATTCTCCTAATGATAATTTCTAAAAGGGCTGAAAACATGGGTCATAGATCTCTAACATCCAGACATTTGACCAGTACCAGTATAGTAAGTACTAGTACAAGTACTGTGTACTTAAAAATTGTACTTTGTACTTTTACTTAAGTACAATGTACTTCAGTAAAAGTACAAGTCTCGCTTCGCTGCGTATTTGTCTACCGACAAAAATTACTTTCGTACTCTAATGACATGTGTATTAAAAAGAAGATGAAAGTTTACATGCGTATTATTAGACTTTTATATCTTTTGGTATCAAAATCAATATAATTTCTAGTTTTGTAACCTGTAATGAATAATGGTAAATTGGTAAAGCAGATATCAGAAACATATCTACAATCTGTTTGGTTACAATGGGTGTGGGTATGGGTGCGTGTATTGTCTTCACACGCAGTACATCCACACCCAAAACACATGTGCACTGCACATTTGAGCATCAAAGAGATTGTGCTGACAACTTTTTGTTTAGGTTGAGCTTAGTTTAAGCTTACTAAAATGTAAAGTAGATAGCTCTAAAAAGTAAAGATGCTATATATAGAAGTCTTTGTGGATCCGAGTTTAGATATTTTTTTCTCAAGTCTTTTTCAGTTCTAGCCAGTACGATGAGAACTGGGAAAATGTTCCAAACATTTCCACTGAATTTTTCTTCAGTTTTAATACGAATTTCTGCCATTAAGAATGGTTCACGAAGCAATGGAAAAAAACCATTCCTATAACACCTCTTCTTTTTACAGAGAAGAAACCCTTATAATCTTATGAAACGAAAAGTAATCAAAATGAAAAACCCACCAAGTAATGTTCTCGAAAAGGGTAGACAGAGAGTATCAGTACTAAGTACAATTGTACTGTAGTACGGTGTAATTGGTACATGGTACTTAAGTACAAGTACAAAGTACAATTTTTAAGTAAAAAGTACATGTACTTTTACTTCAAAAAATGTACCAGTACTTAAGATTTTCACGTACTAAGTACGAAAAGTACTAAGTATTGTACTAAGTATCCAATGTCTGCTAACATTGCTGAACACATGTCCGATTTTCGATCATTTTAGTTAGGTTTTTGTTTCTCTCGAAATCACTGTTTACACAAAAAAAATCAATGCCCACATTCTTTGTGTTTTGAAAAATATTGCACCATTGATTTCCAACAGAGTTTACTAAAACACGTATATTTGGAGGTACGCTTAGTATTTTGATCTTTTTATTCGAATGGAAGGAGATAAAAAGAAATCAAAAAACGTCGAAACTCCAAACAGTATCTAATATCTGTAAAAAGAAATTCTAGCTCTATCAGACTTATTGTAGTTGAGAAAGCGGAGTGATTAGGGAAACGGTTATTACTCTTTTCGACTCAGATATTTCCTGGAAAGAAGTAAAACAAACAAAACTTTTCCTCTCGAAAACTTAAATCATGTTGACAAGTTGTTAGCCCACGAATAGATCTAATCCGCTAAATGCCATATTCTATTAACACACTATCCCTTTATTTTCTTCATGCATTTGATCTATACTAGGCATGCACTGAATCCAAGTTTTGACTTGCTGTTTGGGTTTGGAAACTAGTCAACCAATTCAAACAATGTCAGGCAATTGTCTAAAAATTTCTTGAAGTATATAGACAATTATGGAACCGTTCTAAGATTCGATTAAGTCCGGGTTGGAGTATTTCTGAATATTGTTGACTTTTTTAGGATGTCTGCAGACTTTTGGCTTTTGTACCATTTATTCCACTCTGTGTATAGATCCACCATCTTCAAACATGAATTCCTTTCTTTAGACTTCTACTTCGTTCCACTTATTAACTGAAAATAACTGCATCCAAGACCGAACTTGAACGTCCGGGTTCGGTGTGTATCTCATCTATGCTATGTGTACAGGAATTCAGTTCGATAATTTTCGTTGAGTTACAAAATTTATTAGAGAAACTACCATGATTATTTTGAATTCTTGGAATTATCTCTCAAAAATAAGTCATACAATTTCATCGTATCCAAAGGAAACTTGAATATTTAATCTAATTCTATATGAGATGAAGAAATAAATATTGATATTTACGGAAAAATTACATTATTCTTTTTTTTTTGTTTTAAATAATAATCATATTATTTTTTTTTACTCTTATGAAAAATTGTTCTCGTTTTTCTATTTTTTTTTGTATTCAAAATACGTACAGTTCTTGAACGAAGTTGATCTTTTAATTCAGGTAAGACTGCTTTTAAGTCAAATTTAATATCTTGTATTAACCGACGAAGATCATCATGAGTTTTTAATTCACCAACAATATATGATCGTATAGGAACTTAAATCAAAACAAAATAATTCTATATGAAGTTTTCTAAACAGGAAAAAAAACACCCATTTGACATACTTCTTGGTACAAGTTCTTCAGCAGATTGTTGAGAATATTCAATATGTTCAAGTTCAATTGTAGATGAACCTACAGGTCTTGAAAGTTGCTCATCAATTACAAATGATGATGATAAATTCTCAGCACCAACTGAACTAGATGTACCAATTACACGAAGATCAGGATATGAAACTCCATGACCAGAAAATTTAAATTCACGTGGTGATTGTGATTGACGAATATTTTCATCTAATTTTGCTTGTAATTGTTTTTGTTTTTCTATACTTCGTTCAAGATCACGACGAAGAAGACGCATTTCTTCTAATAATTGTGATAATTCACTTTTTCGAATTGCAATTTCACTTGTATCTGAATCTAAAATAATTAAGATAATATTATTTGATAAGAATATCATAAAAAAAGATTCGTACCAGTAATAAAAGTCTTTCGTTCTAATATACTAATTTGAGTTTTATAATGTTCGATGACAGATTCATTACGTTCGATTTCATCTTGTAAACGTTTTATTTCATCTTTCGAACGTTTTATTTCATCGTTTGACCGTTTTATTTCATTATGTAATCTTAAAAAAAACGAGATTCGTTAATTTTTTTTTTCTAGATTTTAAAGAAAAATTATATTTATTTTACTGTTGATTTTTTTCTTCGGCTTGATCAAATCGAATTTTGTAAGTTTTAAGAGAATCGATTTGTAAACGTGCTTGTTGTAATTCATTTTCAATTTTACGTGATTCAACAGTCAAATCTTGACGAATTCGATCAGATTCAGTATGATAACGATGTTCAGCATCTCCATTGACTTTTTCCATTCTAAAATATTTTTATTTTAATATATTCAAGATAACTATAAAAGAAAAAACAATTTGCTATCGTTCACTAGACATTATACAATGTAAATCAGAGAAGTTAAGTTTTATTTTTAACTAAGAATCGAAGGGGTTGTCTGATCAAATACTAAATACAGGGTGGCGCAAAAGTCACGCTACCCAACAACAAAAAATTGAATATCTCCATTACGGCTCAACTAAACGGGCTCATTTTTTTATCAAGGATAGAGGCATATTCACGCTCCAAATCCATACGGACAAGGTTAGTGAGAACTTTTGGTAAATATCGGTATTGACCTGAACAAGAAAATTTTACTTGTTCACACATAAGAAATGAAACAATATACTTAACAAAGGTTTTCACTAATCTCGTCCATATGGATTTGGAGTGTGAATATGTCTCTATCTTTAGTAAAAAAAATCAGCTCGTTTGCTCGAGTCGTAATGGAGATATTCAATCTTCTTTTTTGATAAAGTGACTTTTGCACCAGCTTGTATATTGTTTTCTCCCTACTTGTGAAGAAGTAAAATTTTGTTGTTGAGATCAATAGTGATATTTAACAAAGGTTCTCACTAACGTTGTCCGTATGGATTTGGAGCGTGAATATGCCTCTATCCTTGATAAAAAAAAATGAGCTCGTTTAGTCGAGCCGTAATGGAGATATTCAATTTTTTGTTGTTGGGTAACATGACTTTTGCGCCACCCTGTATATCCAGATGAACTCGATGACAAACATACAAATACATATGCAATAGTCTATAGTACAAAAGTCTTTGCACAAAATATTCACTCATTTTTCGGTCAATTAAAGACAACTGATTTCAGCTAGAAGCAGTTAGTTAGAATCAGACATTTTTGTCTTTTCAAATATTTGTCCAGAGTTTCTTTCTTGGGTAAGATTAGACAACTATCATCAGATTGTTTTAAAGGGTTCAAAATAGTACTTGTACAGCATACAATGGGGTATTTGATTTCAATCTGTATTTAGACAAAAAAAAGCACTTAATTTCAAATAGAAATCGGGAACTAGGGGAACTTAAGAATATTCATTCATATATATATATATGTATATATCCCTCTTTTCGGAGGGCGGGACTAGGGAGACTTAAGAATTATAAATTAAATATATATATAAATGTATATAATTCTGAAGTCCCAAAGTCTCTCTAGTTCTACCCTCTTAAAAGAGGGGTATATATATATGTCTATATATATATATAGAATTCTTAAGTCCTTCAAGTTCCACTTTTCCAAAAAAGAAGGTTTATACATATGTGTATGTGAATGAATAATTTCGATAACCTAGTAAGCGTACCATCGAGAAAAGAGAGGATATGAAGCATGTGTAGTAATGAATTATTTGAAGCACGCTATTAGAGAAATAAGCTTGTCATTGACTTAGGATTGATGGGATGTTTGTGGTATGTTCCTTGTATAATATGTCCGTCTGCCTAAGATTTCGTCAATAGAGAGGTGTTCTTTTTAGTCCCCTGGGACTCCCATTGTTTCGAAAAAATAGGCATATATTTTTTCCAAAATTCAGTTTGAAATTAAAAAGCCCATAGACTCTGAAATATAGTTGTCGTGTAGTTCAGAAGACCCCCTCTCCATCGTAATGAATAGATTGAGAGTCTTGTTAGATCTTCACTTTTGTTGACAGGAAGGTATCGTTTTTTTTTTTCTGAAATTTAGTTTTAAATAAAAAAACCGTAGACTCAATGTTATTTTTGTATGTTGTATATTATCGATTTTGTTTTCTCCTCTCTTATGACTCATTATTCAAAGTCAAAATAAAAATCAGTCTATTAATGTATTCTAGTTGAGAAGTTGTTGTACGAAGTTGATTATTTTATATGAGATGGACTATAAGTATCTTTACGATAAAAAATTTGCATATCTTCATTCTACTCAAAGGTATTGGTCTGATTTTGTTATTAATAATAGAGAAGTGTTAGAAGTTATTTTTCTTCATAAGAGAACTGTTAATAACATTTACATTGACTGAAGTAGAGATATTCCAATTTTTTTTTATAAAGATATTTATGATCGATCCTGTATGTAGAAAATTTTAGTTTATATGCTAATATTCTTTCGAGAATCAAAAATAGAACCAACTTTCATAGAATCCATAAAGAATCTGCTTTGTTTTAATGCTCAAATTAAGAATGATTGGTCTTAAATGTTGTTTTTTTCTATTGATCATTGATTACAGCTCTGAAGAATAACTTGATTTTTTATAATACAAGAATATTTTTTCTTTTAAATCAGATTGTATAATGAAAAGAAATGAATTCAAATATCGAACTATTGAATTATTTTATATCATTAACAATTTGACTTACTGAGTAAGTTTAATCGTGAGTTGTTGAATTTGATCACCTTTTCTATTGATATCATTATTTAATGTTCGAATCTGTTCATCTTTTTCATTTATTTGTCGTTGCAATTCATTTGTATCCGATGCACTACTTAATGCACTATCTCTTTTGCTCACTGATGTTTCTAAATATGAATACAAAATAAACTTAAATTTAAATATCAAAAGTTAGAAAAAAAAAAACTTTTTTTTTGTTGTTGCATATTTCAAGTGTATAAGTGATCGTTAGGAAAAATAGTAATAATAGAAAAAAAGAATCGAATAATTTCTTGTTGTTTCTCTGGTGTCTTTTTTTTGTCAGCAAAAAAGAATTTAGAGCAGAAAATAGCAATCTATGTTAAAAGAAGTGATTTGTGTGAAAAAAAAAGAAAGAGTAATCAAGAATAGAAAAGTGCTTGATAATCATTGTGAAAGTACGATACATGATCGTTTATTTTTCTCTTTCTCTGTCTGTCTAGAAAATTGATGATAATATAATAATATGATATTAAAAAAAAAGAAATAATTTATTTAAATAAACATACTTTTTTTCGTATCATTTCCTTGTAATACATCAATATCTAAATCAATAATATATTCATCAAGTGGATTAATAATATGTTCTTTTCTTTCATCAAATATCGGTAAATGATTATCATATTTCTATAACGTAAAAAAAAGAAGAACAAAAATAATATAACAATTCAAAGATTAATAATAGATTAAAATCAAACTTTGAAGAATTGTTCGTATTTATTTAATTTCTTTTTTGTTTGTTCAATACAAGTTTGTTGTTCTTTTAAAATTTTTTCATAGTTTTGTTGTGTTTTTCTATTATGTTCAATAGTTTTATAGAGTTTTTTAAGTTCCGTTTTAAGTAAATTTGATTCATCTTTGTACGTTTCAATAACAAGATTTAAATTCTAAAAAGAAGAAGAAGAAGAAGAATTTTATTTATCTATTTAAGGTACTGGCAATTCGAAATTTGAATAAAATTTGTCTTTTTTGACATGGTTGGATAAAGTTCTTCGCGTTACGTATAAAATATTGTTCTAGAAATATTTGAATAATATTTTTTTCGTGAAACTTTAAAAAACTTAGGTTAAAGCAAAAATAAGAAAAGCCTATAAAAATTTTGCTCAAATTTCGAATTGCCGACAACGTTAAAAATTCAAATCGTTACTTGTATTTGTTGTTGAAGTTTGTCTATTGTTGGTGATTTAATTATATCAGGTGTATTAATTCGAACACGCATTTGTAATTGTTGGATAAATTTACGTTGATTACGAATTATTTCTCTAAGTTCATTGATATTTTCGATTTCTGTAAGATCATCATTGATTTTAGTTGATTCATTTCGACCAATTATAGCTGAATCATCAGCACTATGTCGACGTTGTCGAACAGATGATTCAATTAAACCTAAATAATGTAAACATGTTTTAGTTAGAGTTTTCTATACTAGAAAACATGTGAACTATGATTTTTCTAATGATGAATCTTTGAAAGAAAAAATCATTTTTGACTTGTAAAAAAATGTTTAAGTTCTTCTAATACTGAAACTTGTCAAAGAGAAGACATCAATCTTACATAAATCGTTACTTCTATCAATACAACAGAGCTTAAGATTGCCTCAGAAAATTGGACAATATGTTATTATCATTCGATGCAGAATGAACTGAGAAATAACCACAAGATCATATCTATAGTTTCGTGTTTATTGAAGAATTTAACAGTTCTTTAGATTTTTTTTTTTCGGTTTTACTAATATTGAATAAAACATTTGTTGATAATCAGTAAATATTTATCGTTATGTACTTGACATACACTTTTTATTAATAATTATCTGTATATCTATAAGAACAAATTAATCTAATTTTTAATCAAAAAATAATAGAAATACTTTTTTAAGCGATTTGGAATGTAATTTATGTCGTTTTTTTTTTCGTTTGTTAAGTTTTAAATGAGAGTAAATAATGTTTGATTTCTGTATTTATAAAAATGAGTTTTAATATATTTACACTACAATGTTTTCTATAATGGATTCAAGTTTGAACAAAATGTGCGTATATGTAATGAATCTAATTTCAACTCATTGGTAAATAAATCTATTGTTCTAATGTGGTTTAATATTATCTATAGAGCCTCTGACTCGAGTTAGATATTCGTAAAAACTAATGAGGGAAGTCTACCAACTGATTAATTCCTTTTGAGCCGGATACATATGCATCATTTAGATCCTGATGAGTTATGAATATTATGAATAGAGTTCGAATCCTTAGCTTATTTCTGCCGACATATTACATTTTTACGTTATTTTTCAACACAATGCTGTTGTCCTCCTCAGGAAAATTAATTTTTGAATTTTAACTTTAAACTTTATATAGAGACAGACCTTAACGAGAATAGTTAATCGTGAAAGTATCAGATCATTTAATCTGTTCATGTTCTGACATAAGAACATCAAATCTGCGAATATATATGAGCAATGTAAAATACGCGTTCTTATCATGGCTATATCTTGAGATAGGAACAACAAAAATATCTGAAATTTTCTCAATAAACTATTCTTGTTAAGACTTGTTTCTATGCAAAATTTCTAGTTGAAATTCGAAAATCAATTTTCATGAGGAAGAATCACGATATATTAATTCACATTAGGATCTACATGATGGATATAGTCCCAATTTGAAAATAATTAATCACTTAAAAGACTTCTCTCGTAAGTTAATTCTGAAATGTTAGAAAGATCTTTGGTTTTTTTTTTGAAGAAATACGAACCAGCTTCATATAATATCTTTTGATATTTAGTCAATTCTCGATGATAATTTCTCGATTGATTTTCACTTCGACCAAGTTGTTCTGTAAGACGTGCTAATTTTGTTTGCCATTCAATATTTGAACGTTCTAATAATGCTATAGTTGATTTAATATTTTTTGTTGGTAATTCAATATTTGTCGATGACATATCATTATGTAATGAACAAAGATATTGTTCTAATTTTTATAGACAGAGAAAGAGAAGTCAAAATATGTAAACAATCACATCAATCAATAGTAAAAGAAAAAAAAATCAAAGACACATCATAAAGAATAAATATCAGCAGTGCAAAAAGTATTAGAATATTGAAAAAGCAATAAATGAGGATAATATACAACAACAAATACTAAGCAAAGACCTGATGATGATCTCGAATGAGCATTGAGCTTAGCTGAGCGAACATCATTCGTACGATTTTGTTGTGATTTTAATTTTGCAAGTTCATCCTGATAATTAACTAATTCAAGAGCTAATTCAGCTCGTGTATTTGAACCATGAATATCAATTAATGCATTAAGTTTACGCCATAAAACTTGATTAACATATTTTTGACGTGAAAGTTCATGTCGTGTTTCGACTAATTGTGTGTGTAATTCAGTTATGGAAGGATTTTTTTCTGTATAGATTTAAGTATGTTTATTTACAAAATTTTAATAAAAAACAAAGAAGATTTTCTTTGTTTTTCGTTTTCTTTTTTCTTTTTTCTTTTTTTCTTCTTCTTTATTAAAAACTTACGTTTCAATTGTTCATTTAATTCTTCATTATATTGTAAAGCTCTTTCTAGTTCATATAAAAGTTCTTCACGATTTAAATGATCAAAATTGGCATGTACTAGAATAAAATTTATATAATTGAGAAATTAAATGCTTAGAAAAAAAACAAATCGATTAGTTTGTATGAATGATTGTTTCTTCAATCGGAAAAAGAAAAATCATATCATTAAAATCTTTACATATTTTTCAATTCATTGAGTTTTTCCGCCGGAATCAGCTTGTGTATGCTTTCACTCGAAATCACAATTGACTTTTATGCTATAGACTAAAATAGTTTCTTCATTATGTAATTATACTTCGATTCTAATGCTAAGGAGTTGAATACGGTAAAATTTTCTACTATTGAACACCTTATGGCGGTACTAATCGTCACTTATGCTCTCTCTCTTTCTTCTTCTTACATATACATTTATTTTATATGCGTGATTTTTTTTTTGTTTTCTATATTCTTTGTCGTACTTATTTGCTTTCTGTATTTTTCGGTAAGACGACTAAACAAGAGAAATTCTCCAACTGATTATTTCCTGTTGAGTCGAATTATGTGCATCATGGAGACCCTAATAAATTATGAATATCCTCAAAAAAATGTCGAGTCCTTACTTTATTGCTGTGAAAATATTGCATTTTTTTAGATAATGCCGCTGTCCTCATCAGGACAATTCGAAAATCAGTTTTCTCTGATGCTACTGAGGAGAACTATGGTATTGACTTAAAAAATACCGTAGAAATGCAATATCTCTGCAGTAATAAGCTAAGAACTCGAATTTTTCTCAGAGTATTAATTTCTTATTATGATCTTCATGATGCACGCAATTATTCAGTTGGGAAACTTCCCTCGTAAGTATACAATGTATAAACAGACTATTGTAAGTATCTAAAAAAAAAAAGTAATAATTATCAGTTGACACGAAACTAAAATTGGTAGGACAGAATTAATATTGTTAATTTTATCTGTTACCTCGAGCTCTTGTTACTGGAATAAAAACTGAAGTTGTTGATGAACTAGCCTACAAAAAAAAAAATTTCAAATCACAGTGTAATGATACATATTGTAGAAACACATACTGGTTGAGTTGTACTTCGTAGAGCTTCTGCTAGCTTACTTCTAAGTTCAATAATTTCCTAAAAATATAATTTTTAGAAAAACGAAAAGATTTTTTTGGTCTATAAAATATATTTGTTGTTTTACTTGATCTTTCTTTTGTATTTCGATTTGTAATGCTGGATTTGTCGATACACGTTCACTTGATGAACGTGTTGAATCAAGATTTGGTTCAATATTAATAAGTTTCGAATGTAATTCAGTGATTTTTTTTTCATTATTTATATTAATTTCATGTAATCTCTAAAGAGAAAAGAATTTTTTTTGCTTTTTTTGTCTTTTATATAATTTACATTGATCTCTTGGTCTTTATCGGATAATTTTTGACGTATTGTTGCAATTAATTGATCACGATTTTCTATATCGGAGGTATGTTGTTTTGCCATTCTCTAAAGAATAAAAAAGTGCATAAAAAGAAGAAAAAAGTCCATGGTTTTTTTTATTCACCTCGTTGCGTACAGTTACCTGATTACAATCACTTTGAAGTTTATCATGAGCTTGACGAACGTTGTTTAATTCTTCATTACAATGACGAAGAGAATTTTGAAGATTCTAAAAGATTATTCAAAAAAAAAATCCTCTTTTTTTCCTATTATTATGTGTTAATAGAATGTTAGATTTTATGTTTGTTGCGAATAGTAACACGATATTTTTCTATTCTTTTTTTTTTCTTTGTGTATGTCAGTCTCGGTGAGCAGTCGAGAAACATCTTCACTTCTTCTTCTTTTTTTTTTTTTTCTTTCCTCTATAATTTCTTTAGTTAGTAAATGTGAAAAATCGCGTAGTGTTTTTCTTGCACTCGTTAACAATAAAAAAAACCAATGATGAAGTGTCAGGAAAAAAAAAGACGAGACATTGCATATGTAGTTTTAATGAATATACTTGTGCATGTCTTTCTTACTTCATATATATTACTATATGGATTTTGGTCCTAAATAAGATTCATATGTAATATTTCTCTATTGATCTTAGTTAAATGAGATTTTTTTGCGGTTTTTTTTTCTATTGTTATACCTGAACTATTTTTTCACGTTGTTTTAATTTATCTTTAAGATCATCAATAATACTTTGACAATGATCACGTTGTTCAAATGAAGTTCCACTATTTATTTTCTAGTAAAATTTAACATAGAGAAGTAAAATAAATTGTGGAAAATATTTTACCTTTAGCATTTCTAATTGGTTTTCTAAATATCTTACTCTCTCCAATTGAATCTAGAAAGCAAAAATAATCATATTCTTCTCAGGTTTTTGTTTTTTTTTTTGTTATTGATTATACTTCTTTTTCTTCAGCAGCAATATTGAAATTAATATCTAAAGAATTGTGATTTCGTATATGCCCACCAAGTTGATATTGTAGTGTCTTAAAGAAAAATTAATTAAATAATGAGAAAGAAAAAATTTCAAATTCTTATACATCAATTTTTCGTTCAGCTAGTTGTAATTGATCATTCGTTTGAATCAGTTTACGTTCATAATCTTGAATATTTAATCGTAATTCACTAATATATCGTTCAGATTCATGAATAGTTAAAGATTTTTCATTTATTAATTCATCAATTCGTCGGTCACGACTTAAAAGTTCTTGTTGTAATGTTTCAATTGTATTACTATTTGAATAATCACCCTAATAGAAAGAAATAAAAATTTTTCGAATAAAAATAAAATTTTTCAAATAACTTTTTTAATATCGTCAAGAAGTTTTTCAATATGTTGAGCTTTTGTTTTCAGGGATTCACTATACGTTCGAATAAGTTGTTGTTTAGTTTGAAGATCTTGTTCTAATTGTTGAATTCGAATCTACGAAGAATTTTTTTTTTAATCATATAGATATGTTTTTTTCTTTATAGATCAAATACTTCAAATGGGATTCGAATATCTTTTCGTTCACTTTCAACAACAGAAAGATCGTCTCGAAGTTTCTATTAGAAAATTAAATATATTAGTTAATAATTAAAACTATGTATAAAATTTACTTGAATTAAAATGTTTTTTTCATGAAGTTCTTTTTCGCGTCGATTGATCTTAATACAATTATTTAAAAAAATGATTTGAAAATTTAAATAAAAATTTCTTCATAGAAGATTTTTATTGAATGATAAAAAATTTTTTTTTTGCTTTTTGCAATTTATCCAATTTATTTGAAAAATCTTTTTTTTTTTCTAAATAATCTTGTATACATTCATTGTTGATTGAATATTATTTTCAGATAGGCTTTTTTTTATTAATTTTGGTCGCTAAATTGGATAGAACTTATTCAATAAACATTTATTTTACTTCGTCACTATAAAGAGTAGATTCATAACGTACGATCTAGTGACATGAAATGTCCAAAGATTACTTGATATCTTTAGATTTATTAATCGAAATATAAAAGAATAATCATAAACGATAGACTTGTGCAGTAAGACTACTTAGTAAAATGTCGCATGAAAATAAATATTTACAAAATAATACTCCAAACAGAACTCTTATAATTTAATCAATAGTAGATTTTACAAAAAGCAATTAAAAAGAAATGTTTCCATAAATAGAACTAGAGACATCCAAGGTTATGCTATCCTGCAGGGTAGAGTAAGATTTCTTACAAGAGAAGTCTTGCAACTGATAAATCACTATTGAGGTCGGACTATGTGTATTACTTAGATCCAAATGAGTTATGAATACCTTGAAAAGAGTTTGTACTCTCTGCTTATTGCTGCAGTATTTCTGCAGCAATAAGCTAAGAACGCGAACTCTTTTTCATTGTACTCATAGTTCATTTCGGTCTACATAATGCACATCGTCTCGACTTGAAAGTGATTCATCAGTTGGAGGACTTCCCTCTTCAGTCCGAGCACACCGTACGAAAAAATTTACCTATGTATATCTAAATATAACTTTTTCAATGTAAATCAATCATTGAAGTAGTTGCTATAAATTACTGGTTAAGACTACGTTTTAACTTTATTTGTAGAAAGAAAACTCTAGTCGAAAAAAAAAAAGAAAAAGAAAGAATTATATGATTTTTTAAATATCTATTTTAAAATTCTAAAAGAACACCTGCTTTAGGGGGGGAAAAGAAATTCCATTTATAAAAATTACCTTTACTGATGTTTTCTTTCGTTTGAATATGTTTGATAAATGAAAAATTTGAGTCATGATATAATGGTAGAAGAAGTAATAGCATTTACATCAATTTTCTTTCTTTCTTTGTACTATTCAAAGAAATCACTCAATCAATATGTATCGAAAAATAGAGAAAGAAAAGATTCAAGAGCATTTCTTGATTCTTAAGTTCATGTTGAACAACTTTGATTGACATTTTTTGTTTTATTTCTATGTACCACTTTGATTTCCTCTCTTTCCTAACAATTCCTAATTGTTTGCATTGTATTTTAAGTTATTCATAACGAATGGGTTTATACTAACAAGAAAAGTATAATATACAAATCAACCATTTTTCATTTCTTATTTTTCGAATATTTTATTTTTTATTTTTTTACATATCTAATTCTAGATTGATTATTATGATCTAAACTTACATTATCTGGAAGAATTGTAAGCTGTTGTTTGTACTGAAGAAGAAGAAAAAAAAATTTTAATGAAAAGAAAGAATTATTCTGATAAATGTACCTGAGTAATTTGTGTTTCATATACTTGATTTTGATTTTCTAATCTCTGTTAAGATTAAATAAATAGTTAAAATTATTATATATATTTTTTTTTAATATACTTTTATGTGATCATTTCGAATGTTTAATTCATTTGTATATTGACGAGATAAATCATCTTTAATTTGTTGTCTTACATCTTCTGTTCTATTGCGTTCTATTCTAACATGTTCAATTTCACTTTCATAAGTCTGAAGAAAACAAAAATAAATGAATATAATCGATAACAACAACACAAAAGAAATCAATAGACGAACTTGAATCCTAGTATTTGCTTTTCGTAATTCATTTTCTACTATTTGTAATTGACTGTCAAGCTATATTTATATAGATACATCAATGCATTTAGATTCGATCCAAAACAAAACAAAAACAAAAAAACTTACACGTGTTATTGCATTATTTCTTTCTTCAAGAGTAGATTGAATAGTTTGATATTCTTTTTCAAGATTCTATAATGTAATAAAAATTAATTGATATTTAAATAAAAATAATACTTACTTCGATTTCTACTTCTTTAGTTTCAGATAATTGACTGTAACGTCTACGATACTTAAAAAGAAATATTTATTATTTATTTTTGTTCGAAATAAAAATATTACAAAAACTTATATTCTTACATCATTTTCATATTCTTGATTAATTTCAAGACGAATCCTAATCTCAAGATTATCTAATTGATATTTAAGTTCCTAAGAGAAAAAAAAATAATGTTTCGTATAATTAACTAATTTATTATTATATTTCTTTTAACTTACAGTATTCTCTTTTTTGAAAGCTTCAAAATCTGCTAGAATTGAACTGTTTTCTTCTTCAAGAACGTTTAAATCATTTAATGCTTTATCATATTTCCTTTTCCATTCCTAATTTTAAAAAAACACCGAATATGATTATTATATAAAACAAAAAATATCGTCTTTTAGGAGTTGCTCATAAAGGATGTTCAGGTAAAAGTCTTATTCTTTTACTCTTGTCTCCTTCCTGAACATTCAATTTCGATTTTTTTTCTAAGAAAAAAATCTATTTGTTCTAATAATTGTATTAAACGACTGATACAGATCATGCGTTATAGAATTCTGAGAATTTTTACTCAAAATCAATTCAAGTTGAAAAATACTTAACAAAACGATAAAAGAATCGTAAACAATTGCCTCAATTTACTAACCGCTGACTCATGCACGGAAAGTTTCGCAACGAATAAATCGTTTTTCAATCGAGACTAGTATTTTTACGGTAGTTTTTAAAATATCGACTTGAAACTACACGCTTTAACGAGAATAGATTTTTTTTGTGAATGTGTCCGATCTAGTCGCTTTTCCTCTCCTAAGATGCAACTATGGTAATAGCGTGTCTTTTATATCAATTCATGTAAACTGACAGATTTAATGTTCTTATTTTAGGATAGAAGCAAATCAGAGTTGTAAACAGTCTGGACTGGTTGCATCGGTCGATCTTCATCAGTTCGAAAATATTTTATAGACATGCTATTTTTCTTTGATAAAATTTGTTGAGAACAAGTTTGTTTGTTCTGATCAAAATAATCAATGTGTTGTTTCAAGAACTATTAGTTTTATTTGAGTTTTTTTTTTCTAAAAAGCACAATTAAAACTGTATTACTTGAACTAAAGTTATATCATATATATTTTGATACAGATCAAACTTAGGTTTAGATCGTTGTTTGAAGATAAATGTTAGGTTTGTTTGAAAAATTTGAGTGGGAAAATTTCAGATTTGGAATTTAGCAATTAGTCGATGCGTAAATGACTCTTTTTATAGAAGTATCACATCTTCGAGAAACATGATATTTCCTCCCGGATATTTCTAAAAACTTGAGTGCACAATGGAAAATGAATGCTTTTTTGAAGCCATTCTCATTAACTGATCAATAATGATTCAACAAACCGGCCAGTTTTTACTGATGTAACAAGTATTTTGAACCGACCAGTCACCAGACCAACTCGAAAATTCTCAACCATTCACAACTCTAAAACATGTTGAAAGAGCTGGAATCTTCACAATAAACTATTCGTGTTGAAGCCTGTAATTTCAGACTGAAATTCGAAAACCAGTTTTTCTGGACTACGACATTCGTTTAAAAAATACCGTAAAAGTGCAGTATTTCCACAGCAATAAGCTAAGGGCACGAATTCTTTTCAATGTGTTCAAAGCTCATTTGGATCTACATAATGCACATTGTCTCGATTCAAAAAAGGATTTATCAATTGGAGGATTTACTTCGTCAGTGTTCAATGAAGCATTAGAATTAGACATGAGCGGGACTAGTCGTTTTTGCTCCTGATCGGAAGAAAAGAAATTGGTCGTGATTCGATCGAAACCAGAATTGTAAGCTTCAATATGTATAGAGTCTATGAGTTAAGCTGTGTCATTGATTTTATATGCAAAAATGCCCTTAGTGGGATTCGAACTACACCCATTTCGTTAGCGAAGCAGATGTTCTGAGCCAATTAGACATCTTTATCTTGGCTTAGCATTGAAGTGTGCTCTCTCATAATTCTGTTTGGTTTTGACTGATTCTATCCATTCCACTTTTTCTTGGACTTTCTTTATGAATGACTCCTTATTGTACCTGAATTTCACTTTGAAGAGTCTCAAATTGTTCTTTTGTACTTTGAGTACTACGTTGTAATATATTAAGTTCATTTTGATATCGATTTTTATCAGCTTCACTACCACGTAAACGAACTTCATAAACAGTTATTTGTTCGTTTAACTAATTAATCACAAAAGAATTTATTCGATGATTGTGTGTAATTTTTTAAATATTTTTTCATTACCTCATCATTTGATTGTGTTAATCTAGTAAATTCAGTTTCATATTCATATAGTTGATCTTTCATTGTCTAAAGAAATAGATTATTAAGAAACAAAAAAATAAATACAGAAACTATGACTTTTACTTGTTTTTCATGTTTCACAAGTTGTAATTCATCGTTTAGTTTATTTCTTTCCTGAAAAGGAAAGAAATATATAGATTTTTTATTTTATTTTATTGTATTGTTTACTGTTTCAATTTGAGTTATTTGACTTTGAAAATTCTATGCAAAAAAAATTAAAATTTAGAATATTTATATAAAGTAAAATAAATTCTTACTTGACTTTGATTGCCAATTTTTGTTTGTTGTTCAACAATAATCGATTGTGACTTTAAAAAAAAACAAGAAAATAACAAAAATACTTTAATTATTAAGAAAAAAAAATATGTACTTGATCATTTTGAGTTTCAAGATATTTATTTCGTGCAATAGAAGTATCTAATTCAATTTGTATTTGATTAACTTTTCCCCTTTCGAACTAGATACAATTAATTTAACAAAAAAAAAAGAAAAAAAAACACGAATATTCAATTCTCACATCTCGTTCTCGTTCTAGATGAATTCGTTCCTAAAAGAATAGAATGAAGAAATAGAAAACAAATTATTTAAATACAAAAAACTTTACTTGTTGAAAATTATTTTCCATTTCTCGATGTTTTATAAGATACTGTTCAAGTTGTGTTTTCTGTTGCTATTCATTTAAAAGCAAACAAAAGAGAATTAAACGCAAGTGTAAAAATAATATATATATATATATACTTCATTTTGTTCTTGTAAAGTTTGTATTTCCTGAAAATTTATATGAAAAAAAAAATCTATATTGAATAATAAAGCAAGAAAAAAAAAAGAACATACTCGAGTATATTGAATTTCAAGTTCTCTAATAACTTGTGATCTTATTTGATCAATCTCACTCGTAATTTCTCTTAAACGACGATCACGTTCTTCAATCTAAATATAAAATTAATTATTAAAATGACAAAAAAAAAAAAAAAATTCTTAATAAATTATACTTGTGTTGCTAAATTTTTTTTCTCTTGTTCAAATGCTTCGATTTTTAAATTAAATGTTTCTCTTGTTTGTTTTTCAATTTCAGATGCACGTACTTCATATTGCTAAATAATAATAAAATAATAACAATAATAATGAAATGATCAGAATTTTAAAAAAAATTAAAATTTCTACTTGAATTTGTGTCTCTTGTTTTCTAATTAAAGTTTGACTCTAAATACAAAAAGAAAAGAAAAACATATTTTTCTTTTAATAAATATATGAAAAATCAAAAAGAGAATTTTTATTTTTACATCATCATAATCACGTTTTATTTTTGATATACGATTTGTTAAACCAGATACATCATCAGCAACATTTCGAAGTTGTACTGTTACTTGAGCAACAGTTGCTTCAGGATTCTACAAGATGAAAATTAATTAAAATAAATATTTATAAAAATCATACTTCAACTTGTTGAGTATCAGTAACAGCCTAAATTGAAAAAAAACCACAAAATTCTTAAGAAAAATAATAATGAATAAATAAAAACCGTTGATAATGGTCGAGGTAATGGTGGTAACTAGTAGAAAACAATATTATTTTATTAAGAACTTATTTTTTTATTTTCTCTTTTAAACATACATCTGAAGATGATATCGATGGATCCAAAAGACGAAGTAATTTAGCGACTTGTAATCGTAAATGTTTTTCACTTCGTCGAAGTTCATCACATTCTGCTCGTAAATTCTAAAAATTAATCTTATGTTAATTATTTGAAATATAAATCAATTGAAAATTCATACTTCAACAGTTTTAACATATGATGTTAGTTTGTCATTTAAACGTTGAAAATTCTATAAATATTTATTATGATTAATCTCTTTAAAAAAAAAATCTATTAACTTCTTCAGTTAAATGAGAATGTGTTGGTACTGGATATGACCATTTAGTGAATTCCGCAATTTGATTTTCAAGATCCTATATGATTTTTTTTTTTGAAAAAAAAAAATATATTTTTAGATTTCGATTTTCGGTTTTTTTAAAAATTTCTCTCTTATATGGAATCATACTTTAATGGTCCGACTTTGCTGATCAATTGTTCGAAGGTATTCTTCAACATTGACATTGGAACTTGTTTGTTCTTGCTACACAAACAAAACCAAAAAAAAAAGAAAATCAAATATAAATAAAAATTCATATTTTTTTTTTAAATTAAAAATCATCTTCTTTCTCTCATAGTAATTTATCAAAATTTGTGAATAATTATATAATAAAGCATTGAAAAAAAAAATCAAGCAAACAAAAAATTTATCTGATAACAGTGAGTAAAATTCAATTATAGAATGATGGAAATCAGAGGATAGCTGAGCGGGAAAAAATTTTATAAGCCATGTGAAATACAAACCAATGGATAAGAAAAACGAATTCGAGCGAGTAATGGCTAAAAGAAAATGTTGTTTTATTTTATTGCTAAGATATATTTTATTCTTTCGAATTAAACTATTTTACAAAAGATTAATAATAAGAAATATATATATATATATACATTTTTGTTTTTGAGTTTTACCTCATGTCGATATGATTCATATGTAGCTAATTTTTGTTGATATTCTGCTTCCATATTCTAGATAAAATGATATTAAATAAAAATGAAATTTCGACTATTTTTTAAAATATTACAGCAATACGTGTATCATAATCAGCTTTTAAACGTCTCAATACACGGTCAGCTTTTATTTGTTCTTCTTTATATCTCTGATTAACTTCTTCTAGTATGTTATTAGCCTATTAAAAAACCAAAAAAAAAAACAGAAATAATATTCTCTTGTAAACAAGTTTCTATTTACTTCAATTAATCTTGATTTTAACGCAGTTATTTCCTGTATTTAATGTAAAAAAACAATAGATTATTTTCTATAATTATTTTTTTTTTTTGTATACTTGTTTTAATGAATTATTTTCCTCTTGAAAATTTCTTTCACGTTCATTGAATTGTAAAGTATATTGATTAACAGGCATAGCTCTATCTGAAGTTGAATCAGCGTGTGAAGTTATTGTTTGAATATGTTGATCAACAGTTGATGTTGTTATGTTCTCTCCAAATTCACCAGAATTACGAAGTAATTCACGAAGTTTTGCATTTTCTTGATGATACCGTTCAAGTTCAGTTTTTAATTGATGTAACTCATCGTTTTCATCATTCAATTGAATATTACTAACTTGTGTTCCTTGTTGATGGCTTGACAAGAAAAAAAAAAGAAAAAAGAAGAAAGTAAACAAATCGATCAAGAGAACAAACCACAGCAGACAATATAAAAAAAACCGCTATGTTATGTTTTTTTTTGAAAAAGTTTTAATAATTATACCTAATGGAATTAGTTATGATGTTAAGAATAGACATGCCTAGCATGTAGAAAAGAAAAAAAAATTGATAGTCTGAAAGTATATGTAAAAATGTATGTGTGTGTAGGTAGAGAAGTATTGCAGTGAGCTTTTTTGTCAACACTAAGAGTCGGTTAATCCTTGGTTTTTCTATTAAAAAAAAAGGGGAGGGGGGGGGGAGACATATAGCACAATGAAGGATGTAGGATTTTTGGAAAGGAGCATAGTCATAAAACTTGTTAGGACGCATGATCACTTTTAGTGCCTTCCTTCTAAATTCCTATTATATATGATATCTTCTCAATTGATTAGTTGACAAAGCTTAAAAATAAATCATTAAAAAAAAAATAGAATCACCTCGTATCGAAATCATCATTAATATATTCCACTTTATCATCATTTGGCTCTTGTATCGCTGCTGATTGTGTCGCACCCATTGTAGAACAATAAGTTGAATACTTTCAGCTGTCTTTCATCTGTTCGATTACTCTTTCATTTTCCCCCCGTACTTATTCTTACGCTTCTATGGATTCAATACTCTATATAGTCAAATACATATATTACAGAACAATTGCAATAGAAGATCAAGAGACATACAGAGTTTGATTTAGAAAAGAAAGGCAAAGGAAAAAGAAAATGAGGGAGAGAGGGAGAGAGAGAGAGAGAAAGAGACTAAAATCACATCATTCAAAAGTTCATTTTATTTCGTTAGGCAACGATTAACTTAAGAATCAAAAATGAATATGAAAGTGTATATTATGTATTGATTTTAAATAAGCAAAAACGAAACTAAAACTAACATACCGACTTGATGATGATGCTTGATAAGATTCGTTTGTTGATCGTCCGATAATTGACTAAAAGAAAATAAATAGATAATCAATAAAAATTAAATAAATATTTATTAATTTTACTGTTTCTTGTTGATCACCCTGTTCATATTGTGTTGGATGAAAATGACGATGACGTTGAATTGTTGTTGATGATATATTTCTACTATCTAATGCAAGTTCATTTTGTTCTTCAAGGAAAAAAATTCGTAATTTTAAATCGAAATTTTCACGTTTAAGTTCTTGAAATTCCTAGAAACCAAAAAAAAAAAATTTCATATTTAATCAATTCAATATGTTAAAATAAATGAAAAAGAAAAAAAAAGAGAATAAATCTTTTCAACTAACCACTTCTTCCATTGTGTATTTTTTTATCTCTTAAGTGTTAAAATACTACGATATTAAACATAATATAGGTACAAACATGCATACATATCTTCTATCTCATTTTTTCTTTCCACGGTCAGCCAAATACAGATTAGATGATAGAGCGTCAATCGATAAATGAAAGCAAAGAAAAAAAAGAAGTATCAAATATTAACTAGAAATACTCATAATAGAAGAAAATAAATATAAGATTTTGTTATAATTAGACACATGAAGAAAACAACTCATAGATAATATTAAAGAAGAAAACACGACATTTAAATAAAATATAGAAAAGATTTTTTTTATAAATATTTCAAATCGATTTATTGAAATAAATAAATATTCATCATGAAATTTTTATAATTATTTAAATTTTAATGATAAGAAATAAATAAATGTAAATGATGTCTGAAGCATTTTTATCTATAGAAAGATATGTAAAGTATGCATTATCATATCTCTTAATCAGAGTTTTCGTTCTCCTATGTGTAGTTAGAAAAACTACTAGTTATTATCAAAACATTGTTAGGTCGGTTATGTTTAGTTTAGTCACAATCTATGTGTATATTTTAATTCACCTGAATCAATTAATTTGTTCCTAATGAAATAATAGATATGAAAAAATACTAAAAACAAAAAAAAAAAAGAATTATTTATTTACTGTATCATATTCACGCATTGTTCTTGGATTAGTTGAAGGAGTAAGACCGGGTATAGCAACTGGTATCGATAGACTTTCTAGAAAACAGAAAAACCAACAATAGATCTATGTCTTTGAAAAAAACAACAACATTCTTACCATCAGATTTAATCGATAAATCATCCTCTTGTTGGATAGTATCCATAACTATTGTTAATTTACAATACTCAATTATAAATCACTACAAAAATTTCATGAAAATCATTCTCTTCAAAAAAAAAAATTATATAACAAAGGAACTAACAAATATTACTTATGATTTATTATTTATTGCTAACTATGAACTTATAACTACATATATTTACTTTTAATTAATTTATATATAAAAAAAACGAACTATAGATCAAAAAATCTTTTATAGATAATCTTAGGAAATCTTTTCGTTGATTTTTCTAGTACCTTAGAGATGGCGCTTTTCTTTGATTTCTCAATTCTACAAGATTCTTGTCCGAACAATATTGATGAGAACTTTACGACGCAATCGGATACTATTTTTTTTTAAATAAAAAAAACGTTCTTTATGATGATTATATAATACATCAAATATGTATACTTCACACGATTGCCCCTTTTCTAATAAAATGTATAGGAAATACATTTTTTTCTTCTACATAGCTCTCTCGTTCTTGCACAACAAACCATATTATTTTGTTTTAATTATAAATATTTCAACTAAAAAAAGAAAAAGAAATAAAATGTCAACTTTGAGAAATCTTACCTAGGCACTAGTCTATATCTTCTTCTCCTTAGATGTCTTGTATTCATCGTAAGTTGTCGTTATCTATTCGTTCTCCTCTCCTACTCGATTTATTTGACGAATATACTTTTTTTTTTCCACATATGTCCTTCTTTTTTTTATTGTGGTTGAAAAAAAACACAGACACACAGGGATAGCATTGTCGACTGCTGTTATTCTCTTCTTTGGCATCATTACCGCCGTCGCCCAACATCACACATCATAGTGTGTTAATTTTAGTAAAGAGACTGAGGAAAAAGAAAAACGGAGAAAAACAGAAAGGTAAGAAGACACAGAACAGAACGACGAATTGTGTGTGTAGAAGAGAAATACTATGTATCTTTCTATTTTGTTTGACTGGAATAAAACTTTTTGATATTGATATACTAACAGGTGAATGTCATCGTTACACACGGATTCGTTTATTAATAAATACACCTGTTTGTTTAACTTCAAAATATGTGTAAAATGAAAAACAAACAAATTGATTGTTATTTATTTATTTGAATCATTTGCTTTTCAGCATTTGATGTTTTTTTAATGATTCAACTTTTCTCATCATATATATAGAATTTAATCAACGTGCTTATTTTATTGACTTAGTTTTAAAAAAGAAAAAAATTTCATTTACACATTAAATAGATCATTTAGAAAAATCGATTATATTAATTGAAAATTATTTATATGAAATATAAATTCAATTTCATATCAAAAATGAATATTTGCTTGATAATTATTCTAATAAATTTCCTTGTATGAACTTATTCTATCTTTTAAATTTTATAATGAATGATATCGAACAAGAAAATAGATATTAACTTTTTTTCACTACCGTCAACTCTCGTAACAGAATCAAAATAGTGATTTATGTGGAGAATTTTTGAAGATGAAAATGATTACTAGTTTTCCAAGAGTAAAGCTTCTGAAAAACAAAACTGAAGGTTCTTTTAGCTCCTGAAATCTATAAATAGAATTCTATTTGAATTACCTCGAATGACTGATCAAACAATCATCTGCAAAATCAAATGTCTTTCAGTTCGTTACGGACCAAAATACATCAATCTTACGGAAGGCATAAAACTAATACTTTCATACGAAATAGCAGAAAAAAACGACTGTAAGATTGGTGTATCTCGATCTAAAAATATCGTACAGAACTGGAACTGGTACTAGTTCCCTCTCTAGGAAGACGTTTCATTTTATAGAGAATTGTTTGTTCTCTTATTCTAGATCATTCAAACAGAATTCTATTTGTAAATTTCAGAAGTTGAAAAACATAGGTTTTAGTTTTTCCGGGACTCTGTCCTTAGAAAACTAGCAATCATTTTTATCTTGAAAAATTTTCTTAATTTGCTAGTTCCTTTTTATACATTTTGAATCAGTCTCATTGATAAAGACTAACCGTTATTTGTCATTCTAGTACCTATATATCACGAATGACAAGAGATGATTGAGTTATTGACCTTGATTTGTAAGAGACATGAAATAATCAAACACAAAAAAAAAAACTTGAATGCATAGAATTAATTAGACAGTCGAATGTCATAAGGCTGCTCGTTAAAAATAAATATTTATTATAATAAAAAAAACCTATATGTACAATCTAGGCATACAAAATATGATACTTATTTATTGTATACAGATTTTTTTTTGTGGTTTTGAAGTGAATTATGTATAATGATGTATAGTTTACATGTTGATTTTAATGAAATTAGAAAAAAAAGGTGCATTGTACAAATAAAAGTTTTTATAACAACAAAGTCATGATCTTTTTATTATATGAATGTAAATGAACCGTAACGAGTAAAACATCATTGAAAAATAATTTTCATTGTAGAATTGATTGACTAACTTTATCGGTTGGAAAAATTAATTATTTTATTATATAAGTAACTTAAGAAGACCTGTTTAAATCTATCAATATATTTTATGTATTTGATCATGATACTTTATCAATCATATTGTTGATTCTTATGGACAGCTTGATAAGAAGATCAACAATTTCAGAGTGACAGTAACATTTGTTAAATAGTACCAATATCATGTGATAAACAAACAAGATAGAAAATATTAAAATAAGTGTCAGCTGTTCAATTATCAATAGTGGGTTTGTTCTGTTTATGATATTAACAAATCCTTCCAAATGAGTTTCGCTCATTTTATCTGTATTGATTCGCCAATATATACTTATCTATCGTATCTTCATTTTAAATATAAAATTTTAAAGTTTTAATTTAAAAGATTACTCTTATATAAACATACTCGTGACTATAGTCAGTTCAGTTTTCTTCTATTTAAGCCAAAAAATGAACAAAGGAAAGAACGTCACGATCATTCTAGTTTCCTGTCCTACAGTACAGAGTGAGAAGTCATTTTTTTTTATGGTGTCCGACCGCTTTGCAGGATGATGATCTAACGTAGAACAGAATAGAAAAAGGCTGTCCTACGCTTTCTTTGACACAATAGGTTATAATTCTAATAATGCAAATAAGTATATTATTAAAATAAAGATCTATTGTAGTGTTATATTTGTTTTTGATGCATTTATCGACTTAACAATTATTCAAATGTATAATTAAATAATATTAAATAAATTGGTTAGTAGATGATGGATAAGTTAATTATATTCTTTGCTTAATCGAAAATTAATAAAAAGTATCCTGTTTGGTCTTCTGCTTGATAGGACTCTACAGAAAAAACGTTATTCTATGTCTATTTCTAATTTATATTTTACATATTCTAAAATGGAAATTATAGTCATTGAATATCTTTGTATTTATGTCTATCCAGAATTTTAAGAACTGCTGATTATAATAGAAAATTGTCGTTTGCTATATGTAAAATTTATCACTTGTCAAACTGATAATACTTCAATAAATCAAAATGAAAATTTTAAATATTTGTAATAAAAAAAAAGCGTCTTTTAATAATACTATGAAGTAGTTTCATAGCGCCATCTGTTTCTGATAAAAAAAAAAGAAAGACAGAAGTATTCTTTTTACATTGGTAATAACGTACATGCAAGACCGATTAAGTTCGATAAGAAAAAGAAACTGGAGATGTTGTCGTTCATCTTTCTTTTTTTCTTTTATCAATTATTAATTAAATAATAATCTAGTCTTATATTTAAATAGAAAAAAAAAGTATTTTTTTATCAAATGATTCAATAAACAGAGTTTTAGTTGAGCAAAAAATAATTCAATACATTGTAATTTACTTATTTTTTCTATTCTAAAAAATGTTGTATTTTTTTTTAGTCCATTTTTCATTTCAGTTGGTTCATTAATTTTTACAATTTTTTCAACCATATTGGTTAGGTACTTTTTAAACAGTCAATTATACTTTCAATGATATCAGTTTTATGCATGATTGATCATACGAGGTAAAAATTTCAAATTAATGTTCTTTTTATTTTTTCTTTTTACAAATATAAACTCAAGATGCATATTTTGTTAATGTATTAGAACTTATTTTTTAGGCTATTGGAATTATGCGATTCGGAATTAGTTATAATTATTTTTATGTTAATTAAAATATTATATAGATAGATTTTATTGTATTATGGATTGTAAGGAGTGCGCATTGATCAATTTTTTTCTTTTGCGTGGTTTGTCTTATTTGAATAATGATATGTTATTATGGAAATAATAATGATTACGTAGACAGTTGGTCACTAATAATCAAATCGAAATTTTTTTGGGAGATGTAGGTTAGTTCAGTTGGTGGGAATGTAAGTGTATTGATATTTTTTTTCACTTATTTTTGAAATTAGGTTTTTCAATAAAATTGATTTTAATTTATTACTTAGATATTTTGGTAGTTTGTATTTTTTTTTATTGAGAACTATTTTTTGATATTCTATTTATTGTTGTCTATTTATTACTATATATTATATTAATTATATTTATTTATATATCATTTGACAGTCGAGTAATGGCTAATCATTGTAAGACAGATTTTCTTTCAAAAGAACATTTTTTTTTATCTATGTTTCCTTTTACAAATAAGACGGGTTCGATTTACAACAAGATGCATGGAAATAATTATTACATTTATATCCGATATTTGAAACGTTACTTAATATTGAATATTTCATTATCATTTACATCAAGGAAATTTCCAATGATTTTCATATCGAGAGAAAAAAAGATTCACAGAAGTCCTACAAAAATTTTGAAGTCATATTCGGAATGAACACAAAATTATTCTGTAGTCTTCTTTAAGAGTATGAAAAATGAACGAATATTTTATCAAATTACTTTTTCGATAATTCATTAGTACCACTACTGAATAGAATTCAATGATAGATGTTTGATTAATTAATATAAAAAAAAAAGAAAGATGTCTAATTCTGTTTTTCTTCATCGAAAAATTCTTTTTTTTTTTTAGATTAATTGATGATGGATGGACACCTCTCGGTATATTCAGTCTTGCAATCCATCGTAAGAAATTCGATTTTCCTTTTGTTTTTTTTTTATTTATTTTCTTTGTTTTAGTCGCTTTGTTATAACATTTTCTCTATTGATCTTCTCAATTCTATTTGCATTACGAATTGATGAGCATATTAAAATTAGTTATTGGCTTGTTTTCTTGCCATTATTCATATGGAAACTTTTTGTAATTCTTGGTGCATGCACAGGAATTTTTGTCTGGTGTAGAAATGGTGAACAAAATAGGTAGAAAGATATTTTATTTAAAACTTAATTGACTTTTTGTATTTGTAAAGAATCATTCAGACATTAGAAAACACGATCTAAAAGGAGCGTTGAAGGAAATTCCTCTCCAAAATAAGAGAGTCCTTCGAAGGAAAGATGTATCTCACGTCTAGAGATACGCCGTTGTATGCATGACGTCACATTTGATCGATGCACGTGACGACCATAGACATACCGTCATGCGTACAAAGTATGACGTCGCACGTACGAGATACTATTTCTACGATGATGTACGCCTACCAAACATGACATGAATTACGCACTGCGGTGCGTACCAAACATCCGTGTGCTTTGTAACACGTATTACTATTGGTCGATTTTCATCGTAGATCTACGGGCATTACTCCATCTAATTTTATAATGAACTGTAGAAAAAATAATTAATTATTTTTACAATTTTATTTTTATTTTTGAAAGCGTAAAAAAGTACAGAGATACACAAAACAATTAGAAGTTATTAAACTAGAAATAAGAGAAGAAGAAATCAATCTATAAATTAAAAAAATAGAAATCATGAGATCTAAATAAAAATTTAAAAAAATGAGAATAATAAAAGACTTCGCATTTAAAACAATTCAAAAAATTTGCAAGAATAATCAAATGTGAGCTTCTATTGATTGATCAGATGTTTCTTCAGATAAAACGTCTGAAATTTAATGAAAACCTATATTTATTTATTAAGAAAATATTCTAACGTTTTTATCAGACATGTTCTTTGTTATGTTTTATTTCATAAAAATAAACGAATAAGAAGAAAGAAAAATATCATACGTACCAATAGTGTACGAGTAGACATGGGGTTTTCCGGCTTTTAAATTGAAAATTTTAAAACACTGAAGTCAGCATCATTTCTTGACACTTAAAGCCCTGAAAATATCTTCTCAAATTCTGAAAAAATCTTTTAATTAAAAATTATGGAAATAAATGGAACATAACAGAATAGAAGGCTCTGAAAACTTTATACAGTTGGACATACTCGAAGACTAGAAGTCTTCTATTGCAGAGAGGAATTTATATAGGGTAGAAATTTGCACACACTCCAGACCTGGCCCTCACAGATTGTGATAGATGCTACTCAGGATGAGAAGTTCCGTCGGATTCTATAGGATATCCCGTATAATCCGATAAATTTCGACGGAAAATCCGGTAATTTCCGACAGGATCCCGTCGGAAGTTGTTGGGATCCTTGGTATCGGATTCCGATAGGAAGTTGTCAGATATCGGATCCGTCAATCGGAAGATGTCGAAAAGTATAAGATTCGATGATATCTGCAACATGGATGCTTCATTCATCAGCTTTTTATTTTATAATGCATAATATACATATATATATATATATCTATGGAGCTGATTAGTCTGACCGGATGTCTAATTCTTTTTTAATCACATTGTTTCTATAATGTATGAGGTAAATATGATTTTTTTTTACCGTTTATAGTACTCCAGGAGCACCATAACCGGTAAAAAATCATATTTATCTCATACATTCTAGAAACAATGTGATTAAAAAAGAATTGGGACATCCTGCTAAACTAATCAACGCCATTCTATGTTGTTCGCGCTGGCTATAAGTAGTATAAAATTGTCTTTCTTTTTCTAAAATAATACTTATCTTTCGTTTTGTTGTTGAGATTGATCTAAATAAAAAAAAGAAAAATTTATTTATGTAAATAAATACTTATATTTACTGGTCATTTTGATATTGAGATTAATCTAAATAAGGAAAAAAAATTATTTATGTAAATAAATACTTGCTTTGTAATAATTTATAGTAATCAAAACCAATTATTGAAAACCGTCGATTGACCATAGTAAACTGGCGGCAATTTAACAAACTTGCATGCGATGTTGTCGAATTAGATAGGTTTCCAGCTGTCGGATAACGGCGGATCCTATTGTCGGAAATCAATGGATGTAACTGGTTTCTGATTATTGGCATTCCCGTCGGATTATTCATCAATCCGATAGGATCCTATTGAGTATTTTCGACTTGGGTAGTAAAAGATCATCGCAGACTCCTTATCAACATCCCTCCTCTCCGTGATAGACGTTGTTGATATACGAAATCTTACAGGCATTGTACTAATAGCTTTGTTTTCTTTGTAAAGGATTATTCGAACACCAGATAATGATTGTCAAGCATTGATTATTTATTTTCTTATGCATATCCTTATATTTACATTTGAATTACTTACATGTGACAAATTAGAAAATCATCTTGATACTCGTTGGATTATATGTTTTATTCCATTACTTATATGTACATTACTTTCTTTTATATCATGCTTATGGTCATTAAAAGTACAAAGAAATTTTCTTGTATGTTAATACTTTATTTAAAAAAAAAAAGAAAAGAAAAAATATTCATTTTGTTTTTTTATACAGATTCAAGGCTTTATTGCAGCTAATGGACTTTTCTTTTTATTTTTTCCATTTCGATTAGATTATTTTATTACATGGCGATATGTTGTATGTTATATTTTTTGAGAAAATATAAATTATATTTATTTTAGTTTAAATATAGATTGTCTTTATTCCAGTATGGATTTCTTTATGTATTGCATTATTATTTATAATTGCAAAATTTATTCTTGCTATTATTTATCGATGTTCTCATCATTTACTATCAAATTATCGTGAATTAAGTACTATTACAGAAGTAATTACTTATACGATTTTGTTTATTCCATTTAGTATTTTTTCGGTATGTTTATTAAAATTTAAATTTTAGGAAAAATTTTGAAAACAAAATAGAATTAATCGATCTTTATAAAGATTAAAATATTTTATAGAATAACAAGAAATTATATAGAAATTTAAATATAAAACAAGATTTTTATCATAAGATACTATCTTTGAACGATAAAATTCTTATACTATGCCGTCAATTTTGAACTATGATGACAAGCATTAATAGAAATTTTTTTGTTAAGATTATAGTTAATTAATACAAGAAAATCACATCTTATTTTATTTAAGATTTTATTGGTTGATCGACTTGATCATGAAGATAATGATCAAATTCAAAAACTCTCATTTACTGTGATAGCTATACCATTATGGATTGCATTAATTGCTTGGCTTAGTTTTTCATTTGGTGCTACTGATACGAATCCATGTTTGTATTATTTAAATGAATGTTTTTGTTTTTCTTTTCGCATCGAATTCGAGATTTTTCCTTTTTTTGGTTTTTCAATTTTTATAGGGTGGTTTGGTCTTCGACGTAATTTATGTGAAATTATTCTTGATCAATGTCCATTTATATCACTTTATTTCAATAATCAATTTAAATTTAGATCTCATTCATCAAGAAATGATTTAATTTCTGATATGACAATCTTAACAACAGTCAAAAATCTCGAATCAATAAATATTAACAAATTAACAATACCAGACACAGATAATCAAACGAATCTCACTACACAATATCATTTCATATCACTTTTAGAACCTGATTAAATTTTCTATTCTCTACTGATCATCTTACGAGAGAAATCCTGCAAATGATAAATCGTTTTTGACTCGAAACTATGTGTATGATATAGATCCTAATGAACTATGAATACTCTGAAATGAGTTCGTATCCTTAGTTTATTGCTGCAGAGATATTGCACTTTGACATTATTTTTTAAATGAATGCCATAGTTTCCCTTAGGAAAACTGATTTTCGACGTGAAACTTTGCATAGAGACAAATATTAATGGGAGTAGTTTATTATGAAAGCTTCAGATCTTTTGATTTGCTTCTATTATGAAATAAGGACATCAAATCTGCCAGTTTATATGAACGATATAAAAGACACTTCATGTCAATCAATCAGATGGTAAAGTCTTACAAGATCGTACCTATGTTCTTTTAACATCAGACGAAAATCGTAGCATCAGAAATCTTACCCTAACTCGAATTATAAAATTCTTGAAAGATCTTGCTGCCTTATAAGACATCATAATAAGATTATAGGAAATATTTATGACACGGTAAAATCCTTCAAGAATCATCTTATAGCGTGATTTAGTGTACAATTTCTGAGACTGCGATTTTTTTGTACGATTTCATCTGAGTTTTTGAATTGGATAGCTATATTTTAGGACAGAGACAGCGACAAGATCTGAAGCATTCACCAAAAAAGCCTCTTCCCGTTAAGATCTGTAGTTTCAATTCGAAAATCAATTATTCTAGTTTTCCTGAGGCGTAAAAATCTGGTATCTTCGTGGCACTAACCGAAGGTGTCGAACTCTTTTCAAAGCATCGAAAACTTATTTGGATCTACACAATACACATAGTCTTGATTCAAAAATGATTTATTAGTTGCCGAACTTCTCTGGTCAGTCATCTTTCACTTTTTTTTCTTTATTGTAATCATAAAACAAAAAAAAAAAAAAGAAATTCTTCTGCTTTTTGTTTATATAATAATTGGTCCCGTTGGTAAACGAAGAACATCAGCATATTGATTTCCAATATGATTATAATAAAAAAATACAGCTAAACCAATTAATAATGAAATAGGTAAAGCCGGTAATGGTCGATGTAGTATAATAAGAATAATTGTTGTCATAAGCATACCCATTATAATACATAAATAAACAATAATAATAGCAAATAAATTACATTCCGATGTAAAAACAGTTTTAGCTAGAAGAATTGAATAAAATATAAAATCTCCTAAACCTAACATTGATTTACGTGTTGAACGTTTTTTCAATATTTGTTTATCTGTTGATGAAGAATTTATATTAAAATTATTTTCTTGTTTATATAAATAATTATATGTATTATTTGATAGAAAAATTAAATTTAAACTTGAGGATTGTTCAATTAATAGAATAGATTTTTTTCTTATTAATTTATTCATATTTTGATTTTGAAACCACAAACCAGTTGTATATACCATTGTTGATGGTACTTGAAGTTTACGTTTTTGAAATAAATTAATTAATAAATAAAGTGGACCAAATGGAAGTAAAACAGCAATCATATCCCATATAGCAAGTAATGGTAAAAGTACCCATGTAATCCATTCTGGTGCTATTTTAAGTACATATAATATCATAATAATACATTGATAAATTGTTATAATTTGTTTAATTTTATTTGGTGATAACCAAAACATAGATAATATAGCAATTGTTAATATATTATAAATAAAAAATAAAATTGTTAACCAATCAATTGATGAATTAAATTGTGCAATTATCATTGATAATATAGAAATATTTAAAAGAGAAAAAACACATATAACAGTTATAAATAAATAAATATATAAAAATTTCATACAACCATAATAAACAAATATAACAAGAAGACATGTTGCTAATGCAATTATACTTATTATAATTAATGCTATTTTAAATGATTCCCATGTTATTTTTGATATTGATGCTGCATTTGGTCCTTTTGATGATAATATAAGACCAGCATCTTCAAATACATTTGATTGTGTATAAAGATCATAAAGAAATATTGATAAACAAGCCGATATAATAACAGTAAATGAAACTGGATAAACAAGTGCAAGAAATGAACGTGACCAATAATCAATATCAAATGTAGATTCTTCAGATAATTTTGATGATGATCTAAGATTTTATATGATATAATATACGAAATAGACAAAAAAAAACATACGATAATGATGAATGAGTAGTGCGAGATGGTTTAATACTAGTAGTTGACATGTTATTGAATGTCGATAATTAATGCGCTCAAATAGCTATGTAAAAGATTATTAAAAAATGGTTGTTATGAAGTTAACATCTAGAGCTTATATAAACTGATAATCTATACAGAATAGATATTCGATGAATAAAGAATTTATCTCTAATATTAGTATAACTTGTCTTTTCACTATCAATTGTTAATATACCATTGTAATTATAAAATATCAATCCTATCTTATATTGAAATAATAGTTGAGATTCATTTTAGTTGATAGTCAAATATGTTTTCTTAGGCATTATGTGAACTTTACGTGAACGAATCATTCATTTTAAAATATTTTATTGAATAAAATATATACAACTTTATCTATATAATGAATATACACCGCATATAGAAAAATCACAAAAAGAAGACCAATATCCATTTTGATCTTATTATCCAAAGTCACTTAATTAATTTCAAGAAAGACGAAATTGCTAATTACTACATGTGCAATAGCACTGATTTCGTCAATTTCTTTCATTATTGTAATTTCATTGCTATTTATCATTACTAAAAATAAAGAGGTATCGGTAAAAACTACGAACACTACAAAAGCTGTACAACCATATAGAGTTCAAAATAAATAGAACATGGACACTCATGATTACTTATACAAGATGCTTTACAATTAAATATCAAAATTGAATCTTCATCACTTTGATATTTAATTGTAAAACATCTTTTATAAGTAACCATGAGTGTTCGTATACTATTCGTTTTGAACTCTATATGATTTTCAACTTTCACGGTGTTCGAAGTTATTACAGATATCCGAGATAAGGTTACAAACATGAATAAAACTCGATTATTAGTCATTGTATTATTTGAATTGAATATGTTGTATACGAAGATATTGAAAGAGTTATTCGAAGTCTATGTTTATCTAGAGTTGAAAATTTATACAAAATATTTTCTCGTTTTCTTTTTTATCATTCATTTTTCTAAGCTTCTAACTGACGAATTCAATCTTTCACTGGTGAATACAATATAGTGATTAATAACATATTTTTACACTCAATCGATAAATTTCTATGCTATTTGATTATTCCTAAATGAACGTGAATAAAATAAATAATACTATCATAAAGATATTTGTTGATCTATCGCTTCTTACCAGTTACATGTCTATTGAAATAGTATGATTTAGAAAATGATGGACTTATGAGTAATATATAATTGGCATTGATAATGAATGTCCAAAAACTCAAAATGATATAAAATCAAAACATCAATATATAAAATCAAAACATGACTAGTTGTTCATTTTGATGTGATGAAAGAAGGTGTGATTTTAGTACATCATTCAAATTTGTTTTCATAAAATATTTCATAGACATTTTCAAATTTTGCCTAGTCGACAATGTGTTGTATAGAACTAATCGAAAGGTATACACTGAGGACTATCATATGTATTTCATTTTAGGGGTATAGTTTCTAATTTCGAACTTTTGTACTCCACACGGACTGCATGTTAAGTAGAAATTACAGAAAATTTCCTATTTTAACCAAAGAAGTTTTTCTATAGAAATAAAGTACCAATAGTCCTATCATATTATTGTTTTGACTTGAATTCTTCATTGATATTTCATTTTTACACTCAAAAAAGATACGGCGTATAGAGAAATTAGTTCAAATGAAATCAAATATCATTTTATATAGTTATCAATTTATGATACGAACTAACAAAAAACAAACATACACATACTGTCCTTATACGATTTAACCGATTAGTATCAATAGGTACTATTTATTCGATTAGAACAGCTCTTAAGACTGAACTTCCTGCTGTTTCTCTCTCGATCTAATCAGTCATACACATGGTAACTAACTAACTAAAGTAACGACATCCATTTCAGTCATTACTTCTGAAAAACTTGCGGCATGATTATAAACTTAAGAGTTGCATTTATAACCAGTGACATCTTTCTCATGCTTCAACAAGAATAGATTAATAAAGTAGTGAGAATGAATCATCATTTATACTTATGCGTATTTTTAACGGAAAAAAAGCAAACAAAACTTTGTGTACTGCATTGAAAAATATTTATGGCAGCATATTATACATATAATTTTTTACCTCCAATATCATCAGATTTTGATTCTCTTTTACATGATTTTGAACAAGAACCTAATCATGATTATCAATCATTTGCATGTGTATGGCGAAAACATAAACTTGAATTACTTTTTAAGTATTTATTTAATCATCTTATTTATTCATACTATTTCTTTTGTTCTTCATAATTTAGATCTGCAGATATTCAACCAAATTCATTTCGATTTGTTCGTATTTAAAATATATATGTATATTATAGTCAAAGTTTATTTTTTCTTTAAATAGTTTCTTGATGACTCAATGACAGTAGCTGCTGCTTATCTGGGCGAACCATGGCGTTTACCTATACAACTCGGTGCACTCTATTGTTTATTTACAATATATATGTATCAAATAGAAGAACCAAAAGTTAAAGTAATATTTATAATTATTTTTTTTTGAGAAATGTTTTTTCTTTTTCTTTTTTCTTAAAAGATTCGATTAACTATAGATACATGGAATTCATTTCTTGATCAAATAGAATCATCAACAGTTGTACCATCGGATGCTAAAATTATTTTATGTAAACTAATTAATGAACATGCTTTTGTTATTAGTGCAACACGACATGAGGTTTGATGTTTTCGTTTTTGTTTTCATCAAATATTCATAATTTCTTTCTTTAGATGGGTCCTCGATTTTTTACTAAAATAAATTATATGAAATCGGGTAAATATATGCGTTCAGATGTATTACTTTCATCACGTTTAAATATTGATGAAAAACTAATAAAGGTATAAAGTTTTGTTTTGTTTTGTTTTTATTATTTTGTTCATTATATCAAAAAATATTAATATAGATATGTGAAGAAACACATAATTTATATACAAAAGCAAAAGATAGTTTAGTTGAAGCCTATGGTGGTATTGATAGTTTACCAGAAGAATTTACATCAATTCGACCAAATTTTATCGAACAATTAAAAAAAAGTTTCGATATAGAAAAACTTGATGAACAAACAGAAATAGAACCAGAGCCAGAACCTGAAATAGTAACTAAAGTAAATAATTATTTTTAAATCACGGTTTTGTTTTTTTAAATGAATTTTTCTTTTTATTAGCGTCGATCATCAATTGGTGAATCTCGAAGTCGAATTCGAGCTAAAGCTGAAATGACTGATCGTTCAACAGCAAAAGCTTCTATTAAAGATGAATATATGCAGGACGATGATAATGATGACGATGAATATAATCAGTTGATGTCTATGAATACTAATGATGATGATGATGATGATAATGTAATGTCTAGAAAAAAACAGACAACTAAATCTAAGACAAAATATCGTCGTTCAAGAAAAACAACGAAATGACTAAATATTGTTTGAATGTATATTGTCTTTCTCTCTTTTATAGATTTTAAATAAAAAAAAAATAACTATGACAACAAGTCATTCAATACCGGTACTTATGCGTATACTTTCGGCATCATTAACATTAGCAAAACGAGCTGGTCAATTAATAAAAGATGTACAAATGTCTGGTAGTCTTGATATTGTTGAAAAAGTATCGTAGGTTTTTTTTTCGATTTTATTGTTTCATTTTTTTTATATGATTATGATTACAAAATTTATTTAGGGACATAATGATCCACAAACAATAGCTGATCGAGCTTCTCAACAATTAATTATTTCAACATTGACAAAACATTTTCCACAATTAACTATTCGTGGAGAAGAAGTAAAAACATTTCTACATTTTTGTATTTCAATAATTTTTTTGTTTTTTTTTTTAGAATATTAAAATTGAAAATTCTGAAATATCAGATATTAATGATTTAATTAATGTGAATTTAAATGAAGTTTTACAAGCACCATGTCCAAATGAATTTCGAGAATTACAAGAAAAAGATGTACTTACAAATAATAATAAAACAAAAAAAACACTACATACAAGGGGGCATTACAAAAACTGATTTTTTTTTCATCAGCCTTTTTGAGAAATATTCAGAGACTGGTTCTAATAGTGTTTTTCAAAGCACCAATCTTCATCACCGAAACGAATATTATCACAACAGAGATCATCGATATGAAATTTATCAAAATAAAAATCATCGAATGTCTTTCGGTCATCTATGCTCGTGAGTTTCGTTTCGACGACCATTCCTTACGCTCACTCTTTCTAGTATTTAATATATATGTATTCATATATATATATATATATGTTATAAGTATCATCACCAGATATTATCGATAGATTCGATTATTGAAATGAAGATCGTCGAAATGCAAATTACCAAATTTCGGCGAAGAGCATAGTGACCTCATCAATAATGCACTGGTGCATTTTGATTAAAATAGGTCATGGAGATAGAGTTTGAAATCAGCCTTTTTTTCAGAAGCCATTAGTGACTGCTTAAAGCATGTGTAATATTGAATTGTTATCGCTAAGTTTTATTTTGTGTAGTTGATATTTCAGTTTTAGCAGCAGAAAGGAGTCACATAGATTTTAGATCTGTGAAATATGTTCTATTAACATATACTCTTATATAATTGTATGCACCCAATCTCTTGAGAGTCAAGTCTCTTCTGATGCTGTTAGAAAATTTGTGTTGGGCAGCTATTGATAGACTAAAATCTGTCTACTAGATGCCAATAGTATGAACTTTGTTAGGCTACATTCTTTGGAAAAAATGGCGTGATACACTTGTCTGAACTTTTATTTTGATGAGCTCTAGTTGCTCTTGAATTATTTTGTAATAGAGTCTTATGTTCTATGCTAATGATATAACTATGGCCGATCATTAGTGTTAATATCGAATACATAATCTTGCTTGGACAGCATCAATTGTATGTGTGTAAACAGTAATTGAAGGATAACCTGAATTTCCTCGGTTGAAATTCATAAAGTCTATTGCGCATTCTCAGATCTAATGTTTCTACATCCCACCATGCCTATACTAAAATGCCATGACTTTCCATATATGCTGAACTAATATTCTGTTGATATAAAAATCATAGTTCGACATCGTTCTCATAAACTATTTAGAAAATAATCTATAACTGATCTGAAATACATGTAAGAATAAGATGTTGTACAAAGTTTCAAGGTCAAAAATTTTACACATAATCCGATATATCTATGCCTTATAGCAAAATATTTAATCTCAATGGATAGCTTTTAGGAGGATCGGAAGAAGAAAAAAAAACTTTTGTAATGTCCTATGTATAATTAAATTTTGATTTTATTTCCTATAGCTTGTTGTATGGGTTGATCCATTAGATGGAACACGAGAATTTACTGAAGGTCGATTAGAAGGTGTAACTGTATTAATTGGTTTTGCTACTCAAGGTAACGCTATTGGTGGTATTATTCATCAACCATTCTATACTGATGGCAATGAACATGGACGTAGTATATGGGGACTTGTAAATTCTGGTGTTTATGGAAAATATATACGTAATAATAACCCATTACCTGGTCGTATTATTGCTGGAAGTTTATCTCATCGTTCAAAAACTGTTATAGATGCTGTAAATGCATGCCAACCTACTGAAGTTTTACAAGCTGGTGGTTGTGGATATAAAGTAAATTTTTTTTTTCTTCCGTGTATAGAAATGAATCATTTTTTGTCTATGTATCTTTTGTTTTTTGATTTCAGGTTTTGCTTGTACTTGAACGTCGTGTTCATGCTTATGTACATGCATCACGTGGTTGTAGCCTTTGGGATACATGTGCACCAGAAGCTATTTTAAGAGCAGCTGGTGGTATGTTAACTGATATTCAGGGTAATAAAATATTGTATTTACCAACAAATGAAACATATATAAAAACTGGTGTTTTGGCAACAATGGAGAATCATGAATGGTATGCACAACAAATTCGAGAAAAACTTCCGACGTTGTAAAAAAGGAAAAAAAAAGACTAAAATATCACTTATCATTTTTTTTAAATCTTACTGTGATTTCCTTTCTAGAACTAATGATATTTATTAGATTTTTTAACAAAAACGAATATTTTAAAACCGAACATATTCGTTTAGTGGAAAATTTAAGCGAATGATTATTCATTTTAGTGTTATAAAGATTTATATATTTTACCATTAAAATAATGTGTGTCTCAGAATAAATAAGTCTCTCAGTATTTTATTAATATTATTGTCAATGTTTATGGCTTCGACTTAAATTTTTACTCTAATTTCTGCCTTTTGCACAGATAAAAATTTATATTCAAGATGTCAATAAACGATGAATAATGTTGTGTTGATCAAGTTATAAGTTTGAAAAATGATCAATATCAGTGTTTGTGAGTTTATGAAGATATATAATAATATGTTGAGACCTGCTGTAAATATAACGGATATGTACAACAGGATTGTTATTTACCAGTTAAATCAATGGTTAGAATAAGAATTATGCTAAATTAAGAAAAACCAGAAAATAGAAAAGAAAAACAACGAGCGAATTGAAACAAGGCAAACAAGAAATAGAGCACAAGTAAAAAATCAAAAAAATTTCTGTTCGAAATGTAGAAATAAATAAAATGGATTGCTTCTCTAGAGATTGATTATCTTGCATTAGTATAATGAGGCTAATGAGTACATGTGAATTTCACATTTCTACCTCAATGGGGTTGCGCTAACAAGCTTTTCTTCCACTAGCTAGTTGAATTTTGTCTCGAACTAGATATACATCTAGTCACGTTCATCTCATTTTTCCTATGTTTTCAAAAGTACTTTGTTTCATCATCTTTAGTTACGGTTATTTGAAAGATATAGCGATGTACTCATGTCGAAATTTCATATAAAACAAGGTGAAATCGCTGCAATTCGTATTCTCATTTGACATTATTTTTTTTTTACGAAACTTAACTCTCATAGTAGACTGTTACCTAGGCTTGGCAAACAAATCATTTTATTTTTCAAAACAACGCCAATATTTGAACTCAAAAAAAAAAGTTAGTATAACACATAAAAATAGGAGTTTTTCACAGTGATGTTAATTTTTTTTGTTCCAAACATTTGAAATGTCTGTACAAAAAAATGGTTGGTTACACAGTTAATGAAAGTGTGCAAATAAAATTTGATTTAATATTCAGAGCGAGTTTTTCAAGATACTTCTAAATGAACGATTAAGTTTGTTCGTATGTTGCACATTCAACAGCTACGACAATGAAAAAAAAAAGACAAAACAATATTACGAAATATGTTATGTGCATTTCAACTCAAAAAAATTGTTTGATTGTTAGTTTTCATATTGAATGAAGATTGACGAAGATATTGATAGAATGTTGTGAGAGGCCCATTTATTGTAGGACATTTTTAAAAAAATTTATTTCTTTGATTGTAACAATATTCATAAAATGTGATATACATTTTGAAAAATGAAACAAGATAAATGTATAAACTTTTAATTTAAAAAGAAATTCTATTGATTTATAATAAGATAGAAAATATGAATTATGATTATTGATGTTATTTGAGATTTTTATTCAAGGACAACCAGTTGTCTATTCTAAAAAAACTTTTACATCATTCATGTACCAAAAAAAAAATCGTGAATTATTCATGAAGTTGTATCTTAAATGCAAATGCAACTAGAAGAACAAGTACAATCTTTGAGTTATTTTTATGAAACTACTAATTTATAATTCGTTATTTTGTTTCATTGAAGTTCTATTTTATGAAAAATATCGATTGTATTTAAACGTAAATTAGTCATTCATATTTTAATCATTACAATTGAAGTAATAGATTCAATGTAATTCAAACAATCAATTTGCATTGCGAAATTACTTTCGAAGTATTCTATGATGAATTTGAATATCTACTATGGTGAATAGATCTAATCGGTGTCGGACATAGATTCAATTTTTTTGAAAGGAAAGAATTCTATGTGAATAATAAATATGCCAATTGCAAAACTAGTTTTCTTTGACTTTGAACTTGTTGAAAATTTAATTATTGTTTAAGTACTTCGATAAGCCATTCTGTTCTGATAGTTCTTAATGTACCAAATCTTCATTGATCTGTCACTAATTTTTTCTCTTGTAATATTCAATTTATTTTTTCCATCTTAATAGTTCTTGATGTAAAAGAGAAAAACTTTCATTCAAATGTCATTCATCGACAATATTAATTATTGTCTAGATAGATTTATTGTACTTCCGAGGTTATGTTCAATTTATTATAGAATAGTCTTCGAAAGTGATTTCGTTTATGAGAATTAATTTCTTGAGTCTATTATTTCATATTTAATGTTTAGAATATTAGCAATTCATTTGCTTTTAAATATAATCGATATTTCAAGACTAATAACGTTCTTACTAAATAAACATTTTGATGAACGCATTTTTCTCTGTAAAGACAGTTCTACGAGAATATTTATTATACGAAATGAGTCAAAACTTCTGGGTCATTCCTTTTATGAAGTTATAATATGTAAAATGAATATTATCCTACGTTATCTTTTGTAATAGGCTTTATAGTGTTATTTAACATGAGCTTTAACTTTGATATCTTGATTGAATCCATAGATATCTCATCAGTAGATAGCAGTAATTTGATTTGTATACGATTAATCATATCATCAATATATATCTTAAAAACTTCTTTGCCGAATGATTTTACCAAGAGCAATAAGAATCAGCTACTTTTAATCTATTATTTCAAAGATTGATTAAGAATATATCTTTCAGAAGTATTTTATATAATCATCTAAAAAAAGAAAGCTTCGTTCTATTTTTTGATTAGATTTTATCACATCATATAATATATATTTATAGAATTTTATTCTTTTTTTTTTATCATTCAAAAATATTGTTTTATTTTTAAATAAAACTAGTGACGACATTTTTTTTCTTTGTACTTGTATTTAATCATCGATTATTTGTTTTCTTTTAAGGAAATCAGAATCTTCCTTTATTTTCTCTTGCTCTCTCTTAACATCTAGTTCATTTAAAATTTATCCGATTCATCAAATATCTAATAGAATATAAATGAACTTTTCTTTTTTAAGCATTAATCAATAAATAATTTTCAAAGATAATTTTTTTTTATAATAACAATCTTCATTTAAACTACTTAAAATTAAAGAATCAAATATTCTCATATCAAATTTCGTTTATAACTAGAGTGCAAAAAAAAACTCAAAAATATCTTTCATTTACGATAGAAAATCTCAACATTCTACTACATAATAATTGATCAAATAACAGAATTGTTATTTATTTTTAAAAAATCTAAAAATTGCATTAATTGACAATCTCCTATTGCATGTCAATTCTATATGCTTATATACTCATTGTTTGAATGTTAATTCTTTTTCAAAAAAAAAACCAATAAATTATCAATATATGTTTTTCATTTAAATGACGCATTCTACTTTTGTTCCCTGAGGCGTCATTGTTCTTCGACTTTTCTTCTATATAGATATATATATATGTATATATACATCTGATGACTCAATCATCGGCGTCAAATACTAATCACCTTCTGCTCATCGATTGTATTTGAACACACGTTCATTCACTAGCTATTTCAAAAATGATAAGAAATGGGCGTTTATATCAAGCAAGGACAAAATCAAATCTTCATTGACAAGTATTTTTCTGCTCTTTCTCTCTCTCTCTCTTCCACATATGCAGATTGTCTCTAAATGGTTAGAATGCTTGTCACTTGTCGTCTGGAGGCAACGGATCAAATAACATAGTGTGAAGAAGCATTTCGATTACTTGGAAAGGCTCTCTTTTTTTTTGTTTCAGCATACACATACACATACAGAAGAAGAAAAAGACAAATGAGTTCAGTTATATATATATATATATATGAGTCAAACAGCTGCTTGAGTTGTAAGAGATGTGGCAAAATCTTGAAAAGTTGAATAAGAATTTGTTGATGATGAATTTTGTTCAGAATGTTCATTGACACTATTTTGTACCAATGTTGATTTATTATTATTATTATTATTATGATTTGTATTATTATGAAAAGCAGCTGCTTGTGCTGCTGCATGTGCAGCAGCAACAGCAGCTAATTCATAAAAGTTCGAATGAAGAAATGATGTTGCATCAAAACGATGTTGTGGATTTTTTGATGAAATCGATAATGGAGATGTGGACGAAGATGATACCGAAGAAAAATCACTGGGTAATGGTATAGACATTGGTAATGGACGTTTAATAATTGAATTATTTGATGATGATGATGACGATGATGATTGTTGCTGTGGTGGTGGCGGCGGTGGTGGAGCTTGTAAAGATGCTGCACAAGCAACAACAGAACTAATTGATTGACTTGCTTCAACTATTTGACGTTTAAGTCTAAAAAAAAACATATAAGGAATTTTTTTTTTTGTTCTATGAAAAATGTGTATTACATACTTGTTTCGACGATTTTGAAACCAAATCTAAGAAAACAAAAAAAAAAAAAAGAATTAAAAAATTTTTCGTTCTTTCTTTTTTGTTTTTCTTACTTTAACTTGTTGTTCAGTAAGTCGAAGATTTTGTGCTAAATTTGCTCGATCAGCACTTGATAAATATCGTTTTCGATCAAATGTTGTTTCTAATTGAAATATTTGTGTACGAGAAAAAACTGTACGAGTTTTCTTTTTTCTATGCATTAGTTCATGTAATTCATGATTACCATTACCATGATGATTATGTTGATTTATTCCTCCACTTGTATGTGAATATTTATTATTATTATTATTATTATTATTATTATTATTATTAATATGTTGGTGATTTGTATCATTATCTTCTGAACCAGTTGCTATATCATCATCATCAACATCACTTGTTGTTATACCTGAACAATTACTACTGGCATCATCATCAGTATTAATTAAACGAACATGTTTATTTCCTATTGGTGATGATGAATGTTCATCGGATGATAATGAACCACTG